TTTCAATTCCAGATTGAAGATTTGTCAAAGTTACACAATACATACCCAAGACAAATATTGATGAATCTTTGGGTATCACTAGAAAGGGGAGCCCCACCAGACAGTATAAAACGAATTTGACTGCCCAGGATTGCCCTGACTTTTTTGAACACTAAAGCATCCCAAAGAGCCTTTTCCAAACCCCAAGCTCCAAACCAGCTACCATTAATTGCATGCAACCTGCGTGAGTAGGCTAAATCAAACAATTTCTTGGATAATCCGCCAGTTGCATTTACCTGCATTGTGAAGCTTTAGCCTTGGTTACTCAACGAGATATAAAAGGAAGGTTTCAGGAATACGCAAGCCCAGTAACACATACACAGTACAGCTGATGCGTTATGTGCAAGCATGCATTCAAATGCCAAATTTCATAGTACCTTCTTAAGCACTCCATCACGAACGCGATCAAGAATTGCTGGCACAGCTGCCATTAAAGTTGGCATCAATACAGTAGCATCCCCCTTTGTTCCCCTTTTTATCTTGCTTGATGTATCAGTTAGAGTCAAAGGAGATCCATATCCTATGGCACTTCCAACAGCTGCAATTAAATTCTAAAACAAGCAGTAAATTTTGTTACAAAATGCTGAGAAAAAGGAGCTTTTGAAAAACGAAAACAGAATGCCTCAAAATGGAGATATTTATTCAATCCCCTCAATAGTATAGATAATTGCGGTTCATACCTCAGCAGCTAATTCAAGAATATGAGCCATTGGTAAGTATGCTAGGTAAATATCCTTGTTCCCAAGGTCTGGAACAATTGTCATGACAGCAGAGACTGTTGCCAAGACATTACCATGTGTCATCATCACTCCCTATAACAAATAAAAAAAAGAATAAGATCAAAGAAAACGATAATAGTAGTAGTACAATGAACTCAGCACATTTCAGTTCTCAATAGAAATATTTCTTCTAATATACATTTTATTGTCGACAGAAACACAGTAGACCAGGTGACCTTATCTAGAATATTATTTAGGATTACCAATATAGTGAAAGAGGAGGAAAGAAAATATAGGAAGAAACACGTATTACAAAATTACTCCAAACCTTGGGCAATCCTGTACTTCCACTTGTGTACATTATAACTGCAACATCTGCCGGAAGAGGTAAATCAGCATCAACTGGATTTTCTCTACCTTGTCTCTCAACATTGGCAAAGGAAGAGATCGTCCAACCATGCTCAACGGATGAGGTGTCAGAGGGGATATCACTATCCATGCATATCACACGTTTAACTGTGCCAAGTTGTCCATTTATGTGTACCAATTTCCTCAATTCTTTTTGCCCACAAATTACAGTCGTCACCTCTGTCTGGCAAAGATTTCTAATTTCATCATGTAAACACAGGAACTAAAATAATTGTAAACGTATATCGTCCAATATTCCATATCAGACTTGGACCATAAAAGAATTCTAAAAAGTAAAAAGCCGTAGTGAGAACAAGCTAAAAGCTAAATTGGCAACTACACAAAACAGAATATTGACGGGCAACTAAAATTTAAATTGCACAAATTTTACATTAAACAGTTGGGTGATCATTGGATTTACGAACAAGTGGGAGATATAGGAAAGTTACGTAAAAGCTCCCCTTTACTTTTTTTCTCTGTTTTTATATTATAAAAATAATATATTCATTTCATAACTAGTTAGAAAAGAATAGAAGTCAGTATGTCACCAGAAGTGCCAAGAAAGTGATGCACACGAACTAATATCGATATGGCAAAGATCTATGCCTAAGTACTGAAAACGCATATAAGGTTTGATAATCTTTGATAGAATAGCGGACGGAGTATAGGGTGGGCACACTACCCTTCAAGGAAAATAAGAATTGATAATTGATAAAAGTGAAAATTTAAGAGAGATAGAGAGTCGACCTCATTTAACGAGTGACATAAAGCTTCATCTCCCAGCGATGCATATATTGTCACAACAGTAACATTGCGCCTAAAGCAACCCTGATAGAACAAAAGTAGAAAACATTAACTATGTTTTAGAAAAAAGGAGATCAGCAATAGATAAAAATCTAGGAAAGCATGGACATAGATCCGGAACACAGAAATGGGGAAAAAAATCTGCAGCGTTGTCATGTAGCGTCAAATATGACAATCCTCTGTTGAAAAAAATATACCATACTGATAACACGTCTACTGGGTAGCAATTTCCAGACAACTCAATCAAAATGTATCTCGTTGGAAGTAAAACTGAAGACAGAAGGGGAAGAGGGGTGGACATTAGCGAGTGGTTAAGACAATCACCTGCAATGCAATAAACCATTCTTCCCTTGTGTCAGCAAAGATTGCCGCTCGTTCTTCCTTTACATGCCCCATCTTTGCTAGACCAGAGGCAAAGTTACACACAGCCTCGAATGTTTTCCCATATGTCAACCATTCATAGTCTCCCAATGACAGCTTCTCAAAAGACCTTCCATCTTCAGTTATTTCAACCTCCCTCAAGATCAATTTTCGGGTCCCAAGCAAAAATCTATCTCGATGCCGCTCGCAAGCGAGCTCAAAAAGTTCTGCAAGAGTTGTTACACCTTCCCATGCTGTACTGACCGGAGAACGAAACCGATGATTACGAATTGCAAACCCAGGTTCACCACCAACATCAGCGAGGACACCACGTCTTTTCACATTCTTGGAATTCCGGAATAGTATAGTAACTAGTAAAGGAACAAGGACGCCAACAATGTAGGCACTCATTTCCAGGAAGGAACGACCACTCTGTAATATACCAACTCAATCCCTGAAATTGAAAATCATGTCAACTTAAATTAAGACTTTCTTCCCCAATTATAGGTAATTGGGCAACGGAGACAACGGAAGCCAGAACTTGAGCTAATTTCATGATAAATTAAAAGAAACAATGAAGAAGTAAGAAATATATTAAGGTTATAAGGCAAAAGAGCTGGCGGTTCGAACGAAAAGAAAAGGCCATCATAAGCAAGCAGATTAGACATGCAGTTAGTCTTGCGAAACCAGTGAGAATACCGAAGTGGCATGATCTAAAGAAAAGAAGAAAGAGAAAAGATAGATGCAAGAATTCAAGACAGGAATCCAAAGGGACCTTCAGTTTTTCTGATAAAAAGCAAAGACGAGGCAGGTCAAAAAGAGCAGCAAGCAGTAGGGGAAGTGCGAATGAAAGGTCTGCAGAGAAAAGAAGGAGAGGGAGATCAGGGGGTTATATATTTGCGGGGGGCGGAGAGATCGAGGGAGGAGGAAGTTGGAGTTTCAGAAGAAACAAGTTCCCCGCCCCGCGAGTGACTTGTGAAGAAACGAACCTTTTTGCCAGCTACCCAGGAACAATGGCACCCGAATAACCAAAGTTGGGGAAGAAAGAAAAGGATTGAAATGGATTGAAGTTTCTGGGGGCCACACACACGTGGCGGGCGCGAAAGAGATTAGGGTTACACTGTTATCAGTGGTGACTGCGCTGCGGGCCTTGAAATCTGGGTTACGTAGAAGTATGGATGAGGTGCATGAGGCCCGTGTTGCATGTTGATTGTAACGTCATTGATTCTAGAGCTGATAATACGAATGGGTCAGAATATTTTAATAAGCTCAAGCTCTTAAAAATCGAATCTTAAAATTTAAATTTTTATTTTAAATTTTATTTTTTAAACTCAATCCTTATATAAAAGATTTAAGGTCAAAGTCGAAAACCCTTTTTAAAAAAATAAAAAACTTAAAATAAAATTAAATATTATAAATTAATTAAATAATTTTAAAATTAAAGTTTTTATACTTTTTTAAAAATTAAACAACACATATTTAAAAGTCTCGTAATAAAATTTAATCTTGATTAAAAAATAATTTATTTTTTATAAATACACAAACATAATAATTATAAAAAAATAAAAAAATATTAAAAATTTTATACTATACACTAATATTTATTAAATTATATTAAATTAATTTTAAAATAAATTAAATTTAATAATAATATAATACATATAGGATCAGGTGAGCAAGTTATTAGTTTCAAACACGTGTTTCACTAAAGAAAATAATAATAATATTAATATAATAGGGTTTAAAGAGCCACCCGAACTCGAACCTTTTTTTACAGAGCTTTTCAGAGCCAAGCTTTTAAGTTCGATTACTTTAAAAAAATTATTTTAAAGTCTGAATTTTTATTTAAATATGGTCACCAAATCTGACTTTTATTTTCGACTCTAATTAACTCCCATTATCTTATTCCTACTTTGACGAAGAAAAAAACAGTAAATAATTAAACAATATAGGACCACAGCATAGACAGAGATCATCGCACCACACTAGGGTCCAAGGCACGGGGGAGAGGAGGAGATGAGATCCGCACCACATAATGATGAGCAGCCACTCCCCCCCCCCCCCCCCCCCGCCACAAAAAAAAACAAAAAAGACAAAAAAATCCTCCCAACGGCAATAACTTTGCAATCGCATCACCAAACACACAGATGGGGCCCCTGCAGGCTGGAATGCTCTGTCTTGTCTCGCGTCTCTACACACAAGAATGGAGTCGCCAGATGCCACTGTCAGAGTTCACGAGTTCCTTTCTAATTTTATACAAGCATTCAAGCCAAATTTATTCCTAAAAATTTCCTGGCATCACAGTCAATGACACCGAACACGTTCTTCTTCGAATTCTAAAGAATGGATTGGAGACATTCAAGTCCTTCTTTACCACGGGCTCAACTCTTCACCACACCAGTGCCACGCAAACTCTCCATACGGCTACCATTTCCTCAAAATCATTTCTTTCTTCTCAAATTGCCATAGAAAAGACAATGGTCACAGCTAAACTATGAACGACAGTCTTTGTAAATTAGACGTCGAAAACCCATACCTCCAGCTTTGTTTCTACAAATAAATAGAAAATGGGCCAATGACAGCTAGCAATATATTTTGCCAGTGATTTTTTTATTTTTGATTTCTTATTTTTTATTGCAATAGGTGCCTCAATGGCCTGGGCCATGTAAGAAAGATAACGCTGCAAGTTAATTTAAATTGAAGAGAAAAATATTTTACAAGGCTGTGAAAATCATTGCAGTCAAACTGTCTATAGCTTAGTTTGGCGCAGTTCTTCCATTGAAGTTATCTTGTGGTTGCCCACGGCCTGGAGGCGCTGCCCCAGATAACATTTCCATCACAGTTCTCAAAGTCCCCGTCATTTCCTCGGGCATTTGGTTCAAGTTCAAATTAATATTGCTCCCGATTCTTATTTCAGGTTCATTACTTGAATTGGTATTGCTATCTTCTCCTTGCTGTTCCTCGGGATGCTGTCCTTGATACGCACTGGCAGTGTTTGCGGCTATGTTCATAAACATGCTTGCAAGATCATTAGCATTAAATGGCATCGAGTTAAACAGTGGAGGAGCCGCATTACTTCTTGACCCTCGTGTCGACTGGTTCTGAGACTCCTGAGATGATCTTGAATTCTGCGAGGCAAAAAAGTTAGCTCAACGGCTATAATCTTTTATAAAGGAAAAAAGGGCAGGAACTAGGATGCCAAATGTCTCCATCTCATTGGTAACCTCAGTCCACCACTAAGAAAAAGGATTTCACTCACTTGAGTTTTTGGCTTTATCAATTTTCATAAAAACACCTAATGTATCTTTTCTTTGATCACATTTTACTAATTGCAAACATGAGAATCTTAAATACCAAGCTAACTTATATATGGCATACAACATACTAAGAGGTGTACTAAAGTGTTTCAGTGAAAGTAGACGAGGCTGAAGAAATGTTCTTCATCCATAAAAAGATTACAGCCTCTTAAACTCCAGTTTAGTATTTGTTGACCCGTCATCATTTAGGGGGGGGGGGGGGGAACAAAGATATGCAAATGAAACAGGTCATCACCCATCAGACATGCTAGCAAATTTAGAAGTTATTTCATTCCTACCCAACATGTGTATGTAATCAATGCAAAATGCAATAATTTCAATCAAGTCGCGCATTAATACAGTCGACCAAGAATGGAAAACGGGATTCATAAATAATTCGATATCTAGGAGAAAATAACATAGCCATGATTTGACTTCAAGAGATACCATCTACAAGAAGAATCACCACTGATCATGTATTTGATCTGATGAAGTAGTTGGCAGCTGTTTTACAATTAATAATTAATAAATAATAATTCAATTTATTTTTTTTTTTTAAAGCTTCTGGAAAAATCAAGAATGGACCATTAAACAATTAGAAATGCTGCAACACATTCCTGAACTACACATAGAAAAGAATGCAAAGTTAAAACTTGAAAATCGTTAATGAGGCACTAAAAATTGAAATATGGATATTGGATAATACCTGACTGTGATCTGCACGATGTTGCTCTTCTATCAATTTGTGCTCAGCAACCTGCAGTTAACTACCATCGTTATGAATAACAAGACAAGAAAGAAGACAATAAATAAGAATGTTTCAGCAAAAAAAAAAAAAAATAGAGAAGAAATTAACTAACACACCTGTATATTTTCTTTAATCGACTCATTACTTGGATCCAATAGCAAGGCTAACATAAAAAATTAAATCCAGTATATTAAATTTTTAGCAGAAACACTAGATTTACCAATTTAACCAGCATGGGGCCAGAATTCATGAAGCTGTAATAATGAATAAAAGTCATAGATTGAGATACATCTTACTCTTATATTATTATTAGTTTGGTTTACGTCAGGAGGGTTTAAATTGTTAGACTTCTATCCACACTCCATCCACCCTTGCCAACAGTGGCTTACTCTAATTCTAATTAAATCAATTCTTCCAAATTTAATTTAATGATGGGCGTGTTCCTAAGAAGGTAGCAACTTAAATGGCCAAATAACTTATATCAATTGAGGATGAAACGATTACCTTCTAGATTTGATTTGCAATTAGCATTGCTTAAGTATCTCAATCAATGTTCATAGAAATGATGAATTTGTATACTCCCTCCATATCACAATATAAGTCACAGTTAACTTATTTACGTTTTACGAACGATATTAGTTGAAACCTTAAATTCTTAAAAATGTCCCCATCCTTCCATTTATACCCTCATTAAATATCCTATATAAGAGCTTTGATAATAGTAACTAAAATTTCAATGCATGCTATTTTTCAAAAAGAGTAATAAATGAAATAGAGGTATAGTTGAAAAAATAAATATAAAATTTATTCAATGCCCTACATTTTGGACCAGGTAAGGTTTCTAGAAGATATCTTATATTGTAGTCTAAAGGGAGTATATTGCAAACAGTCAAATATAAGGGGCTCTATCAATATCACAGATTATGCAACCTTAACTGCAGGGATTACAGGCTAATCATAGGCATTACTTTTTATTTTGTCTCCTAATTCTTGTGCCCTTCATCTCTCTCTTTATTTTTATATATATATATATATATATATATTTATCCCTGTACAGTATACATACTAAAAATATTGTTTTGGGTGCTGCAAGTCCAAAATGTTATATTTGTAACAGTAGATATCAATAAATTTCCTGAAATCAATAGCATTGAAAAAACTTCATTCTCAAGGTAAAGCCAATGTTCTTTTGAGTCCAAAATAAATACATGGTATGGCTGACAAGGGAAAAGTATAGAGAGAGAGAGAGAGAGACAAAATATCATACCAACCTTTCCTAAACCCTTTATCAATGGCATCTCTGTAATTTCCTTGAGCATAATATGCTAAACCCAGTCGACTATACGCTTTGCTATAGTTTGGGTCAATCTCGGTAGATTTAAGACAGTCTTGGATTGCTTCTGTATATTTGTGGATCTGAGTGTAAGCAGCTGCCCTAGCACATCACAATAACAAACAACACATTACATATTCAGCGCATTGTGAGACAAGCCCTCAAGGCTTTCTAAACCAAACGACTATCACATGAACAAATTATCTTCCAACACAGCTAAAGAATGATAGCTTTCTTATTTGGATAAAAAATCATGTAGACAGAGAAAGTACAAATAGAGCAAGGGATAAGGTATCTTACTCCACAAAGGCAAAGAAAATAAATAGGAAAGAAAAAGTCATTAATACAGCATAGACCTCAAATCCCTAATGCTATGTTTGGATACACATGAATTTGGATTTGGATTTGAGCCAAATCCATTGTTTGGATAATTAAAAATGTATGGATTATAAATTGACCCAAATTCAAGTCCTCCCTTAATTTCTTTGTAATTTGAAATCTTGTTCAAACTCCTATTATTATCCCAACTCAAGCTCTTTTGTACTTTGACCCAAATGCATGAAAGCTTAATTGACTTGCCAATGGTAATTGGACCAAGCCGCCAAAGTTCATAGAAACAAGCTGCCATCATTGACATGGACAAGACCAGACCGATGGTGACGATAGAGACTGGACAATCAACTTCCATTGGGATCGAACCGATAGCGATGGCAGGGACCAGACGGCCAACTTACACTAGGACCAAATCGACTGCGACGACAGGGACCAGACCACCAATTGCCCTGGGACCAGACCGACAGCGATCAGACGGCCAACTACCACCAGCACCAAACCAACGGGGGCCGAACGACAGTCTACCACCGGCATCGGACATGCAAGGACGGCGAGGACCAGATGGCTGACTACCACCAGCACCGGACCAACAATGATGACCGAAACCGGACCGACAACGATGACGGGAACCAAACGGCCAACTTCCACCAGGATCGAACTGACAGTGATGTCATGGACCGAAAGTCCCACTTGCACTGGGTGAGGATCGAACGGCCACCTTCCGTCGCCATCGTATTCAGTTTGGTCGCCATCTCCGTCGGTCCGATTCGATGTCGATGGAAGTCAACCATCCGATCCTCATCATAGCCGTCAATCTGGTGTTGGTGGAAGTTGGTCGTCCGATCCTCACCGTCCCCCTCGGTTCGGTCCCTGTCATCCCCATCAATTTGGTCCTGATGAAAGTCGGCCGTCCAATCCCCGTCATCCCCCTCTACCAATCTCGGTGGAAGTCGGTCATTCAATTCCCATCATCCCCCTCGACTAGTCCCAGTGGAAGTCATTCGTCTAGTCCTCGTAGTTCCCCTCGGTTTAATCCCCATCACCCTCATTGGTCCGGTTCTGATGGAAGTCGGCCATCCAATCCCCGTCGTCACTGTTGGTCTGGTCCCAATGGAAGTCGACCGTCCAGCCCCCATCATTGCCATCGGCCTGGTCCCGATGGAAGTCAAAGGTCTTGTCCCGGTGGAAGTTGGTGCCACAATACCAATGGGCTTTGTTTGTCTGGTCCCGTTAGAAGTTGACCATTCAAATTGTCGTGTTTGACCAATCTTCCAAGTTTCTTTTAAATTCAAATATAGAATTTAAAATTTAAAAGTTTACTTTAAATCCAAACAAAGAATTTTAATATTGTAATTTGAAATGTTTTACATCATCCAACCAAAGAATTTAAAATCTATGAATTTCAAATGTGAGATTTCAAATATAAAATTTTAAATCCAAATTCCCAACTTAAATCTACCCATCCAAACACAACCTAAGTGTATTTGTGAAAGGTTCCCTTGTAGAGAGAATGATCAAACATAAGAAAGTAAGAAAAGGCTATAAGGATTATGCTTGTCCTAAATAATAGGATTGGGAAATGCTGAAACTATGAGGGTGCTGGATTAGGAAACAATGTAATTATGTTGGAAGCAGACTGATAAAGAAAAGAAAGCAATACCAGCAACAAAGGAAACAAGCATAACAAACTTCCTAGGACTAGAGTGAGAAACATATCCCATATAACCAGCATTCCAATCAGTTTTGTGCATCCCACATATGCTTTATGCCTGTATATATCTGCTGCTATAAAAAAGTAAGTTGATTGGCAGACAACAAAGGCATAAAGAAGCATCAGTCCTATCATAACAAACTTTGAACATAAAAACTTAGCTAAGCTGTACTGGTTATAGGTTAAACCCTCGTCAGGATAACTTACTTTGTCGGGATAAATAGGTAATTTTGTTAGGATAACCCAAGTTATTGGTTGAAACTTGGCTAAGCACACTTAGGATAACACGCAAATAATATATACACAACATGTTGTATCTTTTCACTATTAGACGTATATACATTGGGTGCTGTAATCTGCTATCACTGCTTTAACATCGGTCTTAATGGGAGGATGTCTAAATTGGTTCAGTTTTCACAATCCCCTTGATATGCATTCTCAACAATAAGAGCAGCTTCTACAAAATGTGGATGTATAACAGTAACAGGAAACATTTAATACACGTTCAAGCAAGATAGCAAGCTCATTTCTTTTAATATTTAGAAGAAATAGGAATTGACCTCAATACAACATAAATGAGATTCTTTGGATAATCTAATGTTCATTGAAAACTAAACATGATGGAAAGACAAAGTGGAGACGCTAAAGAATTTTTCAGGTAGCATCCATGTCAAAATTCACATTCATGCATTTCACATCTACAAAGGCAAAAGGTTCTATAGTTGAGAATTCAGTATAAGCCTCTTTACCTGTTGCAGTAGTAAACAGCATTCTCTCCACAAAGTGCAATTGCACAATTATACAAATCAATTGCATCAAGGTATTGCTTGGATTGCATTGCCTTATTACCTAAAATAAAAACAAAAAATTAAACACTAAATCAGCCTGCAAAGATTAACCACCCTTTAAAATACTTTAGATGTTCAAATTTACATTGATTAGATCATTCCAATCAACATCCAATATACAGGCATTTTTTGCCTATAAGACAGATTGCAAACAGATATTGGAAATGTGTTGCAACTTTTTTAATTTTAGAAAGAAATTATCCTGCATGTCAATGGCAGGGAAAAGTTATAGATACATATTTCACTTTGTGTTTGCACGCACGCGTGCGCACTATGCATGTACACAAATGAGAGAGAGAGAGAGAGAGAGAGAGAAATAGTAAATTGATAGAGCCGGAAAATATATCAAGACATATGAGAGGAAATTGAGGGGGAGACAAAGGACAGAGAGGAAAGACCTAGCAGTTTAAGGTTACTGTACTAAGGGTCCTGATAATAGGGAGAAGTCATGATGTTTGTAGAGTGGCTATAGACTCAGCATAGTAGCTAGAGTTACTTTTGGGTTGCTTTAATATTGTACTTTGTTTTGGAAAGGACTCATCAAGAATGTTTTAGAGAAGAGATACAAGTGAGGAGAGTCCTGGTCTCTCGAAAAAACCAGCGAGGGGCTGTTTCAGCATTTGTTCTTGTAATCCTGGTACTGATTAGGGAATAGGGTTTTGGCCAGAATCAGTGAAAGTCCTTTTGTAACATTGATTCGGTTATCCAGTCACTAATAGCAAAACCTCAGCATTTCCCTCATTTATTGCGTGTTTTATAGTTTTATGTTGTTGTGCATTTAAGTTTAGAGTTGGGTTCTATCATTTTGGTATCAGAGCAGCACAATCCTAGGGTACTGGGATTATTTAAAAATGGCAGAACAAGTGGAATATGCCAACCCGGATGTACAAGAATTAAAAGAAACAGTTGGGGTATTGTCCAGAGACATAAACAGTCTCCGAGAGATGATTCAAAGGGTGGAGGCACAAATGCAGAAAAATACAGCGGAATCTCACGTGCAGGAAGAGGGTATTTCAGGGGGGAATGGTAGAGACGAAAAGGATGTTGGGAGATTCAGAAAGCTGGAACTACCTGTCTTTACCGGCGAAGACCCACTTGGTTGGTTTTTCCGCATTGAAAGGTATTTTCATATTAACTCAGTAAATGAGGAGGAGAAGCTGGACGCTGCAGTGGTTTGTCTCGAAGGAAAAGCCTTGAACTGGTACCAGTGGTTGGAGACGAGGACTCCTTTGTGCAGCTGGTCTGATTTTAAAAGAGAATTACTGCGTCGTTTCCACTCTACTCAACGAGGAGGTGAATATGAGTTGTTGTTTGCGGCCAAACAGCGGGGCTCTGTGTTAGAATATGTTGAAGAGTTTGAGAGATTGTCAGCACCTTTAGGAGAAGCTTCCGAAGAATGTTTAATAGGTGCTTTTCGTTCTGGGTTGAAAGCTGAAATCAGGGCAGAGCTGAAGCTATCGACTACTCTGACCTTACGTGAAGTAATGGAAGCAGCGCTCTGTGTCGATGAAAGGAATCAATTGCTGGAGGAAGAAAAAGGCCTGAGGGTTTCACGGACCCAACGATTTCAGAATGGGCCCAGACCTATTCTGGCCCAATCTTTCATCCCTCGTGTGTCACAAGCACCAGAGATGGTGAGAGGTTTTTCTGCGGCATTCTCCACAACAGACCCAAAGCCCATTGACTCGAAAAAGACAGAATGGCGAAGGAACGAAACTAAAGTTTATGATGCGAAAACAGGGAGCACTTCGACTGGGATGAGTTCGGCACGAAGAGGAGGAAACTCTCGAAGACTTTCGGACGCTGAGATTGCTCGTAGAAGGGAATTGGGACTCTGTTTCAAATGCGCTGAGAAGTTTGGTCCAAATCATGTTTGCAAAAATAAGCACTTACAAGTAATGCTGCTGGAACCGGACGCTGAGGACACCACTGAAGGACTCGAGGATGCTGTTGAGAGTGAAAAGGAGTGTGCCGAGGCTGACACAGAAGCAACGCACATGGAGTTATCATTAAACTCCATTTCTGGGTTTGGGAATAATCACACGATGAAGGTAAAAGGGCAACTCGAGGGAGCAAATATTGTAATATTAATTGATAGTGGTGCAACCCACAACTTCATAGCAGAGAATCTGGTGAGCAGATTCGGAGTGGTGACTGACGAGATTTCCGAGTATACTATCACTGTGGGAGATGGATATACACTTCGAAGGAAACAAAGATGCAAGGATGTTAAGCTAAAAGTACAAGGACTTGATGTAATACAGACCTTCTACCCATTTCCTCTTAAGGGTGTTGATGCAGTTCTGGGGGTTGAATGGTTACGGTCATTGGGAGACGTGAAGGTTAATTGGGGAAGATTAACCATGAAGATTGGAAAAGGAGGTAATAAGGTGTGTTTACAAGGGGACCCATCACTATCCAGAACTCAAGCTTCTCTGAAGTCATTAATGCGATCCTTGAGAAAACAGGGGGAAGGATTTCTTATTGAATATAGCAGTTCTGAACAAACTCAAGAAGAAAGTTTAACTTGGCCACCTGAAGTGCAAAACCTGCTGGACAAATTTCCCACAGTTTGCCAAGTTTCTGGGGAGTTGCCACCAGCTCGTGCCCAAGACCATGCTATAGTGATCAAGCCAGGGGAGCAACCTCCAAATTTACGACCTTATAGATACCCACACTTGCAAAAGAATGAGATTGAAGGCATGATAAAAGATATGCTCAAGGCTGGAATTATTCAGCATAGTAACAGTCCTTATTCCAGCCCTGTGTTATTGGTTAGAAAGAAAGATGGAAGCTGGAGGTTTTGTGTTGATTACAGAGCATTGAATAAAATTACAATCCCTGACAAGTTCCCTATTCTAGCTATTGATGAATTGTTGGATGAATTGAAAGGATCCACTGTGTTTTCAAAGCTGGATTTGAAGTCGGGGTATCATCAAATTCGAGTCAAAGCTGGAGATGAACATAAAACAGCTTTTCGAACCCATGAGGGACACTATGAGTTTAAAGTCATGCCTTTTGGGCTTACCAACGCCCCCTCCACCTTTCAATCACTGATGAATGAGGTATTTCGTGAACATTTACGCAAATTTGTACTTGTTTTTTTTGACGACATTCTTGTGTACAGCAGTGATCTATCTACTCATTTGGGACACTTAGAAACAGTGTTAAATATCTTAAAAAAAAATCAGTTGGTGGTCAACTTGAAGAAATGCAGTTTCGTCCAGCCCAGGATTGAGTATCTTGGCCACATTATCTCCGAAGAAGGAGTCCAAGCTGATCCCTTGAAGGTAGAAAGTATGGTGAAATGGCCACAACCCAAGAGTGTGAAGTCACTAAGGGGTTTCTTAGGGCTGACCGGTTATTATCGAAGATTCGTTAGAAACTATGGAAAAATAGCTAGCCCGCTCACTGATTTGCTCAAGAAAGATGCCTTCAAATGGACATCGGAAGCAACTACCGCTTTTGAAAAACTCAAGACAGCCATGACTACCTTACCAGTGCTTGCAATGCCTGATTTCTCAATCCCATTTGACCTGGAAACAGATGCGTCTGGGACAGGGGTTGGTGCTGTATTGATGCAAAGAGGCAGACCCCTTGCTTATTATAGCCAAAAACTCTCAAGTAAAGCTCAACAATGCTCTGTTTATGAGAGAGAACTGATGGCAATTGTCATGGCAGTCAAGAAATGGAGGCACTATTTATGGGGGCAGAAATTCAACATCCGAACAGATCAGAAAGCCTTGAAGTACTTGCTGGAGCAGCGAGTGTTGGAAGAGAATCAACAGAAATGGGTGTCTAAACTTATGGGATTCAAATTTGAAATCACTTACAAACCAGGAAAGGAAAATAGAGCTGCTGATGCTCTCTCTAGACAGGAAGAATCCCTAGAAATGATGGGGTTTTCTATGTGGCAATGTAATGACATGGAAGAATGGGATAAGGAAGTGCAAGCTGACCCCAAATTGAGCAAGATTATGCAACAACTCATCACTAATCCAGAAGAAGCAGAAGGGTACAGCCTGATTAAAGGGTGTTTACACTACAAAGGAAAATTAGTGCTGTCAAAAAATTCTGTACGGGTACCAATACTACTAAAGGAATACCATGACTCACCGATGGGAGGACATTCAGGGTATTTGCGTACTTATAAACGGCTGACCAATGTTGTTTATTGGGAAGGGATGAAGAAAGACACCCAACAATATGTTGCAAGGTGTGATATTTGTCAGAAGAATAAATACCAAGCTCTCACTCCTGCTGGACTCTTGCAACCATTGCCCATTCCACAAAGAATATGGGAAGATATTAGTATGGATTTTATCACCGGGCTACCAAAATCCAAGAGGTATGATACTATACTTGTGGTGGTGGATAGGTTTACCAAGTATGCTCATTTCCTACCATTATCTCACCCTTTTTCTGCTAAAGTTGTTGCTGAAGTGTTTGTGAGTGAGATTGTGAAACTACATGGTTTTCCTAAAACCATAGTTTCTGATAGAGACAGGGTGTTCATAAGCCAATTTTGGCAAGAATTATTTAAGCAGGCTGGTACCCAACTTTGCCTTAGTTCAGCCTATCATCCTGAGTCAGACGGCCAAACAGAGGTGCTAAATAGAGGATTGGAGACTTATTTAAGGTGTTTTGTGAATGAGAAGCCAAGTCAATGGATTCATTGGTTATCATGGGCAGAATATTGTTACAATACCTCTCATCACAGTGCAGCGGGAATGACTCCTTTTAAAGCACTCTATGGTAGGGACCCTCCAACATTCCTCAAACTCCACGATGAATCCTCCGCAATAGAGGAAGTTAATGAGCAGATTCAGATGCGAAATCAGGTTGTTGCAACCTTAAAAGATAATCTCACAGTGGCACAGAACAAGATGAAGCAGCAAGCAAACAAGCACCGCCGAGACCTACAGTTGGAGCTTAATGATATGGTTTATGTTAAAATTAGACCCTATCGATTGAAAAGTTTAGCTCGTAGAGTCAATGAGAAATTGAGTCCTCGTTTCTATGGACCTTTCAAGGTTATTGGGAAGGTGGGACAAGTTGCATACCGGCTGGAACTTCCTCCAACAGCTAGAATCCACCCTGTTTTCCATGTTTCTCAGCTTAAAAAATCTGTGCAATCTGCTGCTGTTAATCCCACTATTCCACCAGTACTTTCTGATGAGTTCGAACTCCAAGTGCAGCCTCAAGAAGTCCGCAAAGTCAGAACTCTTATGAATGGACAGCGAGAGATACTTGTGAAGTGGAAGGATTTACCCGAATTCGAGAACTCTTGGGAATTGGTTGACACCATTACAATGCAATTTCCAGATTTTCCCCTTGAGGACAAGGTGAAGCTTTTAGGGGCGAGTAATGATAGAGCCGGAAAATATATCAAGACATATGAGAGGAAATTGAGGGGGAGACAAAGGACAGAGAGGAAAGACCCAGCAGTTTAAGGTTACTGTACTAAGGGTCCTGATAATAGGGAGAAGTCATGATGTTTATAGAGTGGCTATAGACTCAGCATAGTAGCTAGAGTTACTTTTGGGTTGCTTTAATATTGTACTTTGTTTTGGAAAGGACTCATCAAGAATGTTTTAGAGAAGAGATACAAGTGAGGAGAGTCCTGGTCTCTCGAAAAAACCAGCGAGGGGCTGTTTCAGCATTTGTTCTTGTAATCCTGGTACTGATTAGGGAATAGGGTTTTGGCCAGAATCAGTGAAAGTCCTTTTGTAACATTGATTCGGTTATCCAGTCATTAATAGCAAAACCTCAGCATTTCCCTCATTTATTGCGTGTTTTATAGTTTTATGTTGTTGTGCATTTAAGTTTAGAGTTGGGTTCTATCATAAATCTTCAATCCCTTCATGCAAAAGCATAAGGTCAAGTCCAGCTTCCCTAGGTTAAACTCTCTGATCATACCTTGTGATTTCAGCAATTCAGCCAAGTTCTTTAGACTAAACTCCTGACACTCAGAACTTTCCATCTCCTACACAGCAACAAAAATTCTCTAATCAGAATCAAAGAGACCAGCAGAAAAACTTAAAAGCAGCCATATAATAAAAGATAACAAGTAGTAGTAAAATATTTCATCAACTAAACTTAGATACCAGCAGACTCAAGTATTATTAGAAGGAATAAAAGCATATCTCAGTGCAAAACAGCCAACTGAAGAACTAAGTTCCCACATAATTTGACTGTGCAGACATCAAATACAAGCCCAAGGCAAACAACCAGTTAGCTTCTTCTCATTGTTGTACAGATTACATATACCATATTTAGAACCCAAGGATTAACCCAATGTTCAAGTTGGTGGAATACTTATCCACTATCTACAAGCAGTTATTAGCTAGGTGAAATGTGTTTTGATGTTCATGTTGATTACTTAGAACTCCTCAAATTTTGAAAAACAGTTTTCCTTCTGTGTGGTTTATAATCATGCACGCTGACTTCTCAATTTTAAATCATTGATAATAATGGTACAACTTGATCACACAATTAAAGTACAGTATTTAGAAAGAAGTAAACAATTTATTATCACCACTATTATTGCTATTACAAAAACAGAAAGATAATACATGCACGAACACGCACAAAGAAAAGTGGTGCATAAAAACTAATTAACAAGAATACTTGTTTGACATCAGCGCTTTGGCTTTTAGATCTTCCAAATCATTCCCTTAAGTTTTTACATCAAGAGAAACATATGGACATCCATTGAATAGCAAATCATACCATTACAGCATCATTGAATATACGAGATGCTTTCTCCAATTGCACTGGGTCATCAGTACCATCAGGATTTGTCCTAAAGAAGTGGACTTTCTCCAGAGCATTAAAGAATTGCCCACACAGTTCATCTTTGGAAACTCCTGTCAAATATGAAGAAAATATCTATGTAACTTTATACCTTTAAAGCATACAGCCAGCAGTTCAATTCAATATCAAGAATGATAAACCCAAATCTCCATTTGGGTGAGATCTAAAATGTAGCGTAACTGAACAGTTTATTTAAGACTATCAGCAGCGACTGAAACCCTCCAGTTATAAAAATTTAGAAACCACTGTGGTGATTATACAGGAAATCTGGACCAGTGACATCGGACAACAGCAGAAACCACAACAAAAATCATGGAATAGCATGAACATAATCTGAACACTTATGATTTAATGCCTTTTTTTTTCAATTTCCCATTCTTCCCTGGAATAGTTATTTCTCTGAGTTTAAAATTAAGTGAAAGAATCCTCCTCTATGGACTTTAAGCCAATGATCTACAATCATCCCCGTTACCTCAAGCAGTTTAGAAACATTGTGACCAGTTTCAACCCATAGCAGCCTAAACAATTAGAAGTAAAAAACGCAGGGATCTAATGGCAGACACAAAGTAACTGTTTCTAATAGAGATAGAGCTAAAATAATAAAGTATGGTACCTTCTTAAGTCAGAACCAGAGAGCTTGTCTAAGTTATAATAGGTAATGGTAGAAGTGTGTGCATTAGAAAGAATTAATTTACACTGCAAGAAATTTTGTCTTATTGAGACCAGCACTCATTTGAAAAGAAACTCTAATTAAATGGATGAGCATACTAAATAATATATAATATAAAGGATAAGATAAACCTACCAAATGTGCGAGACCAGCGAGTCCAATCTCCATCCTAATAAATTACACATTGTTTAACAGAATCAGAACCAAATGCCAAAGTTTCATTGACACGCACTATGATGTCTTGCATAGGAAAGTTAAAGGTGCAGTTACAAGACCCCAAAAAAAAATATATACATTGAGATGACATGCAGTTGTTTACGAATTCACAAAATCTTATGGCAAAAAACAACAATTTAAATTACTTAACCAGGGTTTGCAGGTTACCAATCAATTTAGTTCTTTAATATTAAAAAAAAAAAAACCATATAAAGCTAAAAATTATAGGCACGATAAGAGTATAAGTAGAATGGAATGCTAGAAGATATATTTCATAAACTAAAGTCCCTGTCAATAGAAAGAAAAGCTCACTGATACTGATATGGTTAGTGATTATAATCATAATCATAATAACAACAATGACAACACCAGCAACAGCAATAGCAATAATAGTATCGGTGCAAAATAACCGGAGATTTCCGTGCCTCGGAATGTTTTTGTGTATGATCAGCATTGTGGGCACTGAATGACCCCGAAGCATCCATGTCATCTGGTTGTTTACCATCATCTGACTGACCAGCTTCACATTGCTTGTTTGATTCAAGGGACTTGAATATGTCGATCAAAGAAACAGATTTTGTGTGAACATCTGTCGGGGATGTGTTAAGCTTAAACACCTCTGTCAAACACTCCCTGGCAACCTCAAGCCCTTCTACATCAACGCCAGGGGCCGGTTCAACTGTTCCACATGAAACAAACAATCAAAAAGGTGAACAAGCCACCTAATTTGAAAGCAGATGATTTTTTTCCTCTAACGAAACAAAATGCGTTATCAACTTTTTCACTCGGGTAAACTGTCAGTAAAGCAACGACGCGAAAGCACAAATTTTGAAGGGAAAGGAGAGGGTTGCGAAAGCAAAGAGGGAGATGAATACCTAAGTTAAGGAAGTCCAAGAAAGCACGAACTATGCTACGAGAAAGGGGGGAATCGGTTGTTAGATGCGCCATCTAGAGAGGGGTGAGAAAAGGGCCAAAAATGCTAGATAATTAAATTGATCATATTTTCGAAGCAGAGAGTTCCATCTCTTTCAGATCTTTGAGAAAGTTCGCAGGACGGGGACAGTCATCATCCGCCAACCGGGTTAAATGGGCCGACGCTAACCCGTTTTACACGCCGCGGGTTATACTGCTGTAGTTGCTCTTTTTTCTACTTAGAGAGCACATTAAAATTTACAGGATTGAGGGGCTAAAGTGAAATCATATTTTTGTCTAGTTAATAAAATGCTCCTAATTTATAAATTAATAAAATGCCTTGTTGTTCGAAGAAGTTGTAGTTCAAATGTTAATAAGTTTTTTTTTATATTCTGTTGCAGTTTAAATTTTGAAATATTATTTTTTAAATTGATTTTTAAATATCAATTACCCATTTGTACAATAGGCTTAAATGTCATTTTTATTTCTCAACTATGGCGAAAAGGCCACTAAGTTCTGTCAGCTTTCCTGTGAGTCAATTTTATTTTTTAATGTTAAAAATTTTATTTTCCATCACCTTATTGTATGCTAATTGTGTGTGTTACCTATTTATTGCTTTATAGGCCTGTGATTTTGCACATTTAGCAAGCTACACATGCATAGGTCACACTTTTAAATATTTTTTATAATAAAATATTATACCATTGGCCCTACTTTCACTTTTTATCCTATTCCTTCTCTCTCATCTATTCCTTCCTTCCATCTTTTCTTTTTCTCCTTGCCCTCTTCTCTCTCCCTCATGTTCTTCCACTCAATTTTTTTCTCCTCCATTCACCTCCTTTCGTTCCATTCATGCCCTTAATTTAAAAAACACCTAAATATTCTCCAGACGACATTCCACTCATGCCCTTAAAAGTACATGCAAATGAGAAAGAAATAGAGAGAGAGAGAGTGATAGCCAAGCATGGAGGTTTGAGGAAGAATTGATGGTTGAGCAATCTCCTACTAACCCATATGGTTGAGGTTGGCTAAGTCCTTGAATTGGTTGTGTGAGAGAGAGAGAGAGAGAGTCAGATGGGTAATGGTTTGAGACAATAAGGCTAGAATCGTGATATTCTAAGAGTGTTATTCTGCACTGTTCAAGAAAGCCATCTAACTTTTTGCAATGTGTGGTGCAGAGATCATCATCCCTCCTCTCCCCCTATCGTCATTTACTACTAATGCTTGAGTTTGGTCTTCCAGTAAATTATCTTGCCCTTCAACTTCACCTACTAGTTCCTTATTGATTTCATAAGAACTCATCACTATTTCATAAGAGAGACTTAATTTAACTTGACTGTGCCTAAAATGGAGCGTGTTCTTGTCACTGTAGAATTGGTGCTATAATGGCCCTAACTAAATGACATCGCAACCTTCAATCTTGCTTGAGATTCGTGGCAAGTGCTTCGCCACCTACTACAAAAGACATCATGTGTTGTCAAAGAGGGGGGAGGAAAGATAGGAGAGAGATGGAGGCGGGAAGTGGATGTAAAAAATATATAAAGTGGGTTCCACTAATAAAAAATTAGTGATAGAGGCACTAAGAAATCATAATTATAATGTTGAGAAACAAAATTTATCCACAATTAAACTTAGAGTGTCCAATGACCTTTTGAGTACTAAAGGGTAAAATTGACTTTTAATCCTACATAATATCAACAAATTATAATTTAGATCTAGACAAGTTATTATTTGACTTAAAAAGCTTTAGATCTCACCTTTAATGATGGAGCTCTAGTTAACGTCGACGATGGTAGTGGAAAGGTGAACTTTTTTAAATAATTAAGAGGTGTTTTGGTAATTGAACCAAAAGGCATGTTTTCTCTCATCACTCAATCCTACAATGTAATTTTAATCCAAGATGTGATGTAATCCATGATTTGAGAAATCTTCTTACTCCTGTCTTTTGCCACAAGTTATTTAGATTAATCTATTTACTAGGGAGAATTTCATTTAAAACTCCTTGATTACACTTAATAAAAAAGAAGGCTTCTTAAACTCTGAAAATTTACTTCAGACTAAGGATATTGAAGTGATTTAAAATATAAAGTAAAATTACCTCATTGTCTCTTATCCCTTGTGATTCTCTTCTAGCCTAACATCCATTGTATTTTAAGTTGTTCATTGACTTATAAAAATTGTTTATACCATTATTGAATCTTGATTTCATCTTAAGTGTTGTAATCATGGTAAAACGAGTTATTTATTTCCTTACATTAATTTGTTCATTAACCCACATGAGATATTTGTATTATGATTAAATCTTAATTTTATTCCAAGCGCTGTGATAATGGTAAAATGAGTTGTTTATTTCTCCACATCAAGTTCTTCATTGATCAAATGGAGTTGTCTGTGTCATTACTGAATATTGATTTTATTCTAAAGTGCTATGATCATGATAAAATGAATTGTTCATCTATCCATATCAAATTATTCATTGACCTACTAAAATTGTTTGTGTCATTACAACAGATCATCAAGGAAATTTCTCTCTAAATCCCCAAGATTTTCAATTTAAGCTCTCAAGTTGATATTCCCACAAAATTGATAAACAACAATAGTCTAGAATAGCAAAAAAAATCAACTCTTACATGTAATTAATTCCAAGCAAGGATTATTCATCATAATTACAAATCTCAAAATACAAAATCTCTAGATTTCTTGAAGATTTGGATTTATTACAATAACTCTTCCACAGTTTGTCACCAAAAGTCTTCAATTGTGGGTTACAAAAATTTTTCAATGATCCTAGCAGCGATGCAATCACCATGAAGATTAGGAAGAAGGATCAAAGGGAGGCAGGGCTATTCAATGTTCAAAATTAAAAGGGGGTCCTGTTAATCTCTAGAAGTTCATGTTATTTCATCACATTTTTCTTAGATTCTAATCCATTTTGGTTTAATTGTATATGTTTTTATTGCTCAAATTAGGAAAATGTGTATTTTGTTTTCGACTTGTGTTCTTGGCTTTAATTTAATATTTTTAGCTTAATTTTATGTTATTTTGATTGAAGTTTTGATTAGAAGCATTTCTGGAGCTTTGTGAATGTTTATGGAAGGCTTTTGGATGAAGAAATCAAGAGCAAAATGAATGATTTTTGTTAGCTGTAAAAACAGTGCAGAACTGCCAAAGTCGTCCCAAAGTCGTGACTTTCGTTCACGACTTTCGCCGCTATCAGAAAAAGGCTACGTTTCATTTATCAGAAATTAGTTGGCTAGGATACATATAAGTTGAGAGCTTGATCCAGAACGCATTCTTCAGACTTTTAGACACTTTTGGAGCTTGGTTATGCTAGGGTTTGGGCATTAGAAGAGTTAGGATCAAGAGATTGAAGCTTTGAAGACATTTGGAGCTCATTTTCTTTAGTTTTTCTATTCCTCTTCCCTTTTCTCTCTTGTAATATGAAATGGGTCCACTTATTTTGTATATTTGTAGCTTGTGGATGATTATGAGTAACTAAACCCTTTGTTCTAGGATTATTTGAAACCCTTGTATGGATTAACACTATATTTCTACTCTCTTTTTGTGATTAATGATATATATGTGTTTATTTTACTCTTTCCTTAATGCTTCTACTTGATTGGCCACCATTTAGATGTTGGGTTCACTTAATTGATACTTGAGAGGGCTAGGTTGAGTGTAGAACTTGGGTAAAATTATGTAAGAACTTGATATTTGCATGTTGAATAGATGGTTTTGTTAGTAAGATAGAGATATACTTGCTAGCCTTGCGTAGCCACATTAGGGTTGGTGTTTAAAATTGAGTTTTATTAATTGTAACAAGAGATTGGACAATTAATTTAACTAAATCCTTGTTCATGACTTGAGAGAGCTTGTCCAAGTATTTTTAGAACTCTAGGTTAGCACTTATTTTCATTAAAAGCATTTATGAGAGGAGGTAATTTTGATGTTATGAAATGTAAGGGGGACAATTAATCCTAGGTCTTAAATTGTGTTGGAAGTTTGTGAATCACTCACTTTTCTTTTTTTTTTCTAGAGTTAATTTCATTTGCAAAATCATTTTCACGTAATTTTGTGTAGCTCAGCTTGATCAAATTTACTTAGTCTTTTGCTTGATCATTGTTTTTGAATAAATCCTCGAGGGAATGATACTTTACTTTCATTATATTACTTGTTACGATCCGTACACTTGCGGTAAGCAACAGGTCCCTTGGGGATCGATCTCTTTGCAACTTCTTCTCAGTATGAATTAGAGTGAGAGAGTGTTTTTGGACAGAGAGAGTGAAGAAAAGGGAATCTAAAGATTTTTTTTAATTTAAAAAAGGTCAATCTTGTTATTTCCCTCAATATTTTAATTTCATTTCATTACCCCTGGTTTGAAATAAAATTTTAGAATGTAAAGGGCCTTCTTTTTTATTATATTTGGTCAAGGTGTTTTAAAATGAAATTTTCCCTATTTACTAACACATTAGACTAGATAAAAAAAGATGAAAATTAACAGTGACAATTTAAAAAATACATTAGAAAAATATATACTTGTATTTATAATTAACTCCTGAGGTCGCAGGAATTTAAAAAAAAAATCTCAAGGTAGGAAAATCAAAACTTTTTGCTGATCCAACACAAAATTAAATTAAAGTTTAATAATAAAACCAGGTATCTCTTTATTAGAAATGTAGCACAATAAAATTTTATAATCTTAAATTGAAACACGTGTTCACAATTTAAAAATACAATATAATTTTAATTTTTTAATAATATTTAAATCTCATTTTGTAGCAACAATTTCATCATCAACAATAAATTCATCCGCACCATGTACATCTAAATGAAATGTGGATAGCTTTTGGTATTTGCATACATTGAAAAACAAACAAACGCCAAAATAAACGCATCCTAGAAGCTCAAAATGTTAAAAGTTATATAATCTCATCTCATTCAATAAAAATTTCCAAATAAAACAACAGCCTAGCCCACCTAATTGGGTTTTTTTTTTATTTGACATTAAATTGGTTGGTTAAACAAGTTTTCTCATCTCATTATTATTATTATACTGCATACTCCCTCTATTTAAAAATATATGACTTTTTTAATCAAATTTTACTTTTAATAAAGTAGTTACGTGTCTTTAAATTAACTTTATTTTTTTATATTTACTCTTATTTAATAGGGTGTTTTACCTTAAAAAAATAAAGTAATTTATTCAATGGGAGCACTTTTGAAAAAAGATAATTATTACACTTTAAAAAATTAAAAATGCCTTATAATTTTGGACATTCAACTTTTAAAAAATATACATTTTTTAATAGAAGGAGCATATTTTTTAGTAATTATAAATTTATTTCTTACATAATATGTTAAATAACAAGCAAAATTTATTAGTCATTTTCTATATGATACTTTAATAAATAAAATAAAACATGGATTAATTTTGCTTCAGTTGTTAATTAATGAACCTTGAACACCTATTTTAACCGGCTCGATAACTTAATTGATTTTCAAAAAATTGATTATTAGCCAACTTCTTTGGTCATATTGTATTACTTTTGGCATCAACATAACCTCAATGATTCTTTTGGTTTCGTATACATATTTTTAATGTTTACATATGTATTATTTTGTTAGAAATAATTTTATTCAAGATATTATCGAATACTAAATATATATATCTTTTTTAATAAAAATATTTTGTTTATGTATTTATTCCGTGATGAATGTACAAGCCTACAAGCAAAGAAACAAGTCTCCCTTTAGTTAAAAAAAATTCTAATATTTCATATAATTAAGCTTGGTCTTTATTAATTGAGCTCAAGGTCAAGTCCATAAGTTTTTTTTATTTTTTATTTTTAAATTCTTAAAATTTAATTTTTTGAATTATAAAATTATATATCCTTTCTCTAAAATATAAATTATAATATTCAACAATTAAAAATAATTAATACAATTCTAATTTTAAAATACAAGTGTGTGTGTGTGTGTGTATTAAAGGAAGAATGACAAATAAATCCCTCTCAAATAAGAAAATGACAAATTAATTATATGAAATGTGATAATATCTTTTAAATCCTAAAGAATGTAATTATCATTAAAATTTTGATAAAATGACAAAAATACTCCTTAATTTAAAAAAGTGAAGAGCAATGGTGAGAGAAAATTGTGAATGTTTAAACCACTTTAGTCATTTATTGAACCAAATTTATAAATTTTAAAACTAAAGTTGTAAACAAAAAAATTTTTGTTTCAATTTGCTAATTAAAAAAAATAGTAAGAGAAAGTTGTGAATGCCTAAACCACTTTAATCCTTTACTAAACCAAAGTTGTGAATTCTAGAGTCAAAATTGTAAACAAAACAAACTTTGTTATACTTTATTGATTAAAGAAAAATGATAAAAAAATTGTAAATATTTAAACTATTTTAATTAATTGATAAACTAAAGTTATAAATTTCAAAACTAAAATTGTGAATAAAAAAACTATTACATTCTTTTAAATTAAAAGATATTTTTTATTTTATCAAAAAGTTTAATAACAATTAAATCTCTTGAAACTTAGAAAGCATTATGATATTTTGTAGGGCCAAATTGCCATTTTCCTATATTTCAGAAGGTTTTATTTGTCATTCTCTATATTTAAAAATCTAAATGTAATTCAAAAATTAAAAATACTTCTTATGGGTAAAACAAAAGGTGAGCCTTTAGATCATCCATACCTAATTTCAAAAGACCTAACAAATTCAAGCTTAGAAGCCCAATATTATATTAAAAATTTTTAATTTTTTAAATCTAAGCCTTTTATAAAAAAAAACTTAAACAAGCAACCTGTATTCTTAGCTCTTATCAAAATAGCCCAAACGACTAAGTGCAACTAATTTGCATTAGTTTAGTTTAGGCAAAGTAGGCCTCAAATTCAAACATTGAACCCAAAGCTTTTAGAAGTTGGATTTCGAGTTGGCAGTCTACCCAACCTAATTCATATACCCAAATAACATTTAAAAATGAAAGGAAGAATTATAATCAAATTCCACATAAAAAAAATTAATCAGTATAAAATCCATTAATTAATTGTGTTGCTAATACAGTTTGACTCAATTATCAATAAAACTTATAATAATTAATTTACTTGTGTATGATTTCAATGTAATTCTCTTAAAATGAAATTATATTGCCAATGAAAATTAATCATTGTAAAGTCTATTAACGACTAATTATGTTGTTAATACAATCTAACTCAGTTGTCAATAAAACTTATAATAATTAATTTACTTGTGTAATTTCAATGTAATTCTCTTAAAATAAAATTATATTGCCAATTTTAGTGATATACATGATTACATAATTGGCTATTATAAAATGCGTAAAATTAATAGAACATTTCCAAAGAATGTGTAACAAGAAGCATTCATATAGAAAGCAACCAAACCATAAAGCTCTCGTTGCCCCTGCCACAAAAAGGTAACCTAAGTGATTTAAAGCCTCTCGTTATAACAAGGCAGGCCCTTATAATTTACAGAACTTAAGGAGGCCTAAAACAGAAATGACTACTATCAACATAGTAAAAAAGGTCGCCAAAGTTAGCTTCTCAAAAATCGTAGTCTATCTTTTTTGTCTTGATCGGGATACCTGCAAATAAGAATGGATTTCATCATTTCAAACAGAGCCAACATCCAAGAAAGCAAAGGCAGACAAGCCGCAAGCGCCCTCGCAGGTTAAGATTTCCATGAAAACACTGGTTTTACTAGAGGCAAAATAAAGATACCGAGGGACTCACAGCCTTTTCATTTGTATTTACAACTTCTGACTCTGAAGTCCCTGTAGATTTTCCCCTTCTATTCTCATTTGCTGCAAAAAGACATTTCGGCATCATTATAAGAATTTCTGGATGATTAAAAAAATCGTGGGAACAGGAAACTAATTTGACTTGATTTACTTTGCTGTGTAACATTAACCCAAAAAAAAAAAAAAAAAAAGGAAGAGAGGGGGGTGGGGCGCCTAGGGCAGGATACCCGAGAGCAATGCTCTAGATGACTTTTAAGGTATAATTGAAATTAAACGCGCCCTTCTAAGTTGGTAGCGTTTTACAATTACGATGTGAACACGAACTCCATGAGCTGATACTATAGTAAATATGCATATACGTATCCATGTGCATGAATGAAGGCTTCTCATGATCTTGATGAAAGGAAAATCAATGCATCTGCACTTTACATTATGCTTTTTGTCATCTCATACTTAAAGTAGAGGATATCACGATAGTAAGAAAATTGCAATCATTCCACATATTGGAGTGTACCAATCATTATTTCCTCCAAAACTTCATTGGCTAAATTACCCACCATTTTCGTGGTTAAGTGATGTTCCCTCGTTGGTTACTCTGCCTCCTGTTGTGGCGTTAGCTTTCTTTATCCTGACACGGCGAGAGTGTTTGCCGGGGTCACTGCAAAATGAAATAGGCATTCCCATGTGAAACAGGCCCCGAGAGAGAGAGAGAGACACTAGAATATGACACACTGAAGGAAAATGTCAGGATTTAATAGCAAAAGGCCTCAAGGCATAATAATAATAATTAAAAAAAGGCATAACAATAATCTAAGAAAAAAAGATCATCAAAAGTTGCACCAGACGCCAACACTAGCGCGAAAGTGCAGATAAATGGGAACAGTAGTACTGTAAACTCCAGCAAAATGTTATTTAGCAGCCAGATTTCAGTGAAGAGGCATGTCCTTACCATGCCCACCAAAGTTCTAAACCAAATTAAAGAGTCCTCCCAACCATATACGGCATCAAATCCAGTTGTGCCCATAATTATAATACAAAACAAGTCAACGATCATAATCATGTTTAAAAGTTTCTACGGATATGGTAATTTTTCACATGATATCATGTAGCGAGCACCAGAGATTTGTGAGGAGTATGCAACTAATAGTGCAGTGCTACAAGTATTAAAACTATAAAATTATCTACGCTGAGAATAACAGAGGAAGGTATCGAAGATTAAGTGTATATTTGATTTTCAGTTTACACTTGGCAAAAGTTCACTTGAGGGATCCAATTATTTATTGAATTTGGCAAAAGCACATTCCAAATATGATTTGAATATATTTTTTAGAGTTATCCAAACAGGCCCTAAATCTCACAGACAGATAACGAGAATGCATAAATGCAAATAGCAGAAATCAAACTCAATGAACACTTGGTAAGTGTCCAGTAGTGTGGGGTGAAGGGGACAAACAAAGCATGCTATAGTTTGTTTGGTGAAGCGTCTCTTTATGAAAGATAATAAGCCAAAGTCAAGGTGAATAATTGATGATATGCCTCTGCTCTGCATTTAACTTGTTAGCTAAACGGAAATCAATGACAAGCATGTGAAATCTAATAACTTCACTAGCTAAGGCAAGAAGTCAAGAACAGAAAGAGGAAGTGAAGAGCAGAAATATAAAGAACTATAGGATAATAACCAAGACCGTAAATATTAAAAAGCAAAGAAAAGAAGCTTAATCAATGTTCATGAAATACTTATGGGGAAGATCTTTTTTTTTTCCCAGGATTTAGTTCTAGCTCACAATGTCAATTATCACTCGCAACATTAGTGTCAGCCATTGAAGAATTCTGTTCTTTTAATCAAGTATTTCGAAATGGGTTTTGCATTACATTTTATCAATATAACACCACGCAATGAGCAAGACAAAATGAACACTAAGAGGATACACTGATTTGTAAGCTCGTTCCTAAAAATGAACAAATTGACAAGGAAGTAAAAGTTCAGAACCTCAACTCACCAGTGCCACAAGTGACATTGATTTGAACAGTCTGCCAGTACATCTTCCTTCTAAGAAAATTGTCATTGTCATTCATTCGTTTCAATACATGAACATCTTTAAGCAACACACTGACGCAGTAATATTAAAAGAGACACAAACCAAATCTCAAACGAAGACATACATTACAGATGAAGGTTAAGGTGCACGTTGAGGTATGAGATATGAGGTGCTTAAATTAAATAAAGAATATCTTACAATGCATGACAATTCCTACCAAATTAAATTAGATAATGAACATGTATTATATATAATAAATCAAAATAGAAATATAAGTTTCTTATTCTAATCTTAAAGTCTAACTTCAACAAAGTTAGCCACAATGATAAATGATACCAAATATATTTAATTTCAGATCTCAAAGATTAAGAGTTAAAAATTTGTAAGCAAAATTACAATTTAACCAATATGCATTGAAACCAAACTACAAAAAATTATTACATAATACTTAATCTGGAATACCCAAATACTACACAGTATATACTGGTATGGATATGGCTCTAAGACTCAAATTTAAAAGTACTCAGGCTTCATAGTCCTTCATGCTCGAATAAATGATATAGGAAGCCAACATTGTTACAAAAGCTATTTTTGCCGCTTTCAGACTAATCTTCCATCATTTGAAATATTGCCAGTAAAATACAAATATCACAAATATTATTCATTTATCTAACCTTTTGACATTTGAATGAATTTCCAACAAACCTTTGTGCCACGAGAATCATTGAGATTGGTTCTGGGGCGCTTGGAAGGTTGACCAGTATATTTTCCACTTCTCACAGCATTCTCTAGGAAAGAAGCTGCGGTCCTTTTTGACTTGCGGGTTGAAACGCGTGATTCAACCAGAGAACTCACAGAACCACAAGATGAAAGTCGGTTCCCTTCCAGAGTTCTTTCAAAAGGTTCAGATGCAATATTCTTTTGCCAATGAATTGTAGAACACTCATGCAAACCAACTGGCCCAGGGTTAATGGAAGACACAACATTTCCCCCCCTTTTCCCTGGAGGGATATTAGATCTTACGGTTCTCACATGTGTCTTTTCCCTCCATAACAAATCATCTGGTTCGTTAGATGCCAAATTGGATGTAATGTGTGTGTTAAGATTGCACTTTGGAACATCCTCTTGACACTTGCGACTATATTTAAGAGTTCTAAGAGGCTGATAACAGGGAGAAAAGCATACATGTGAAAATTATATTTATAAACAAAAATGAAGGAATATTTGAAGCCTATGGTGGCCACGTAAAACATACCTTCTGAACACATGCCTGAGGGACATATGATCTAAGCTTTTGCAAGACGCAGCTCAGAAAGCTTTCATCAAAATAGGTCTTTCTGGGATTAGCCTGCAGTTCACAAATAAATCACATAAAAACTTGTTATAAAAGTCACATAATAAGCCTGCATAAACAGTACAAAAATGTTGTTGTTTTTTTGTGAATATAAGACAAGTTCTCTAGAAATCTCACATTGTTCTTAGCAAAACTCATTTTATATAACGATGAAGGCAGCAAAATTTGTCCAGGAGCTTGTGATGCAGAAATTTCACCGTGTTTTAATGCATTTAAAATGAATATGCCAATGTCAGCCAGCATATGCAGCTTCTGCAATTTTATGAACCACAATAAGCATGTAACACAGCTGAGATAGGAATTGATTAATGGGGAAAATATTAAAAGTATTTTACAGGAGTCATCTGCACATTGACAGCATCCTCAGCTTTTCTGATAGCCCGTAAAATACTAAACAGATATAATACAGCATCATTTACAAGGTCCTGGTCTCCATCAACAATACTTGAATTGACTAATGCCTGCATAAAAATATACAGCGGACTGCAAAGGAGCAGATTCCATATATCACCAACTTTTAGACTCATTCATGTGCCATAATTAGTACAACTGAAACGTGCCAGGATAAAGGATGCATTACCTACAGAGGTCAGCACACAATTGTTCATCTTGACAGCCTTCAGATGGAAAGCCAGTATCACGAGAAAGTACATGAATCAGAAAGACTACAACGTATGCTGGATAACCAAAAACTGCCCCTTGCACAGATGAAAGTTGCCGTGTTCGAGCTACTATGCTGTAATCCTTGATAAATTCTGCCAAAAATTTAGAGCTCTGAAATGAACAGTATTAGTAGCATTATCAGTAAAAACATAGAAAAGTAAGTTAGTTCAGAAAAAATTCAACAGGGAAGACAGAACAATTACAAAAAAATTGTGAGCTTTTTTCTGAAGTTATGATGAAGAAATAATATTCCACATTCATCTAATTAGGGAGTGTTTGCTTGGCCCAACTATGAAACAAACTTTGAAAGCTTATAATTGTTTGTTCCTCCATTAGCTTCCGGACATTTATCTAAGGTTAACACATCATTATTCTGTATAAATACAAATATGAAAAATAAAGTCTGAAACGCACTCCAATTTCTCTTATTACCCAAGAGAGAAACTTTTACTTCCTTTCAGCATGATATAGAAACTCGTAAATTTTAATGTAACTGAAAAATGACAGAAAGTTAAAATGAATTCAAAGGCTCTCATTTTAAGACACGTAGGGAAATACAAATTTGAACAATAACTTTCAAACATATCAACAAACAATGGAGAACAGACACGACATGCCAGAAGTGAGAAATGCCCCCAAGCAACGTAAAGCGTGGATGTCAAAAAATCTATAAATGAACATGATAGTGCTTATGGTTGTGCTACCAAGAGTAATAAGCTGACAAAATAGACTCAAGTACATTGGGATTTAGGCGATTAAAAGAAAGATGTAAAAAGAAACAAGAAAAGTAAAATAATGAAAATAGAAGTAGAACACCCTCTAGTCTATGTAAAATGCTGGCTTAGCCAATTTATGTAAGGCAACATACAAAAAGTTCCTGTAAGAGTGACTGGAAAGGCGGGAGATTGGCCATGGTGGTGAATGTAAACAAATATTTCCCTTAAGCAAGCATTTGAGCTATACTTATCATCAAGTGTTGTGCAGTATGGGACCTGATAAGAAGATATCAAGGAGCTTAGCTGGTAATGAGGTCTGCTTCTACGACATTTATACAACCCTTTCTAAAAAAACATTCTTATGATAATCCCAACTCATTGGCTTAAAGCAGATGGGTGCTCGAAGGTGATTTATCATGGACTGGAAAGGAGAATGACCTCATGCATACCTGGTGGGAAGAAAGAGACATTCAAGAAAGGGAGGTCGTAGAAATGAAATACGCAGAATGTGTTGGCGAAACGAAGGAACTTGGAACTATGAATAAAAAATGTCCTGCTGTGCATTGTAGAAATCTACGATTGGTGCAGGAGTTTCTAAGCTAGGATGTAACAACAGGCGTAACAAACTTGTGCAGTTGTTTTCTAATGAGTTTGAGTTAAAATTTGTCTCACTAAAAATGTTTAGAGGAAAATGAGAAACTATGTTCAAAAATAAACACTTCAAAAGCTCCAAGGTAACATCGTTTCATGTCTCATTAGCACATGGAATGTAGGGCTTGGGTTCAGGGATGACGCTCTGCTTTTTCCTTCATTTACAGTCATTAGGACAAAAGCAAATCCAAGTTGCCACTAGCTAAATTTACAGAAAAGATAATCATTTACACAGTCAAAGGCAAACCTACATGACATTGCAGATCCTCAATCCCATCCATCATGGCCAATGGAAAAGCGCATGCATATCTAATAGGTAGCTTACGCTCCTTGAACATTTTATGTATTTTATTTAGAAATGATCTCCTAATAGAAGATGACGAGTCCTGAAACATGAAAGCGGACCATTAAAAACTGATATAATCAACTACGTTAATGAAAAAGAGTGAACCAATCATCGATGAACAAATAATAGTAAGTGGTTGAGCCGCAAAAAGAATAATGAATGGGCACCAAAAGGAATTGCAGATGTTTGCTTCCTTCAAACGGAAATTTTCTACATTTTTTCATGGTGAAAAGAAATTTTCAAACTTTTTCCTGTTCTGCAAACGTAGTATTTTACATTTCCCTGGCTTTCGATATAGGCCTTAATTCAGATCGTAGAAAAGATTCTCTATGTTTTGTTTTGAATTTGATTGAACAAATATGAAAAAAAATATTGCAACAAAATATAAGCTAAAAAGAAACGACTAACCAAAACAGAATAAACTAAGGAAAAAATCTATAATAATAATAATTGTTTAAAAGGTATATATTCGAAAATGGTATCACGAAAAAGTGAAGTGGATTTTAAAAATAATACCCAAATTGATAGAAACAAGATCAACGATATTTTAAAAAATTCTTAGCAGCAGTGGTAAAATAAAACTTGAAATCAAAGATAATAAAAATGGACACAGGACTCTGACATAACAAATGCACTTTGTGGTGCTACTCGAAACTACCACGCCGACCATCATTTGCTAACAGCGAAAATTTCAAAACTCCAAAATTTCTTCAACACACACAGTTTAAAATTTACAATATAAATTATCCCTCTTGAGTATTTCAAGCTAAGCTAAAATTACTATTGTGATTGGTCCCTCAAATAATATATTCTGATTTGACCATCAGAGACCATTAGTTAAATCAACAGTATTTCTACCTCTACTTTCTTTACCAGATGATTTAAGTGAAATGCAAAGTCGAATGAACATACCTTTGCATTCAAAATAGTGAAGCGAAAAATCTCTGGAGAAATATGATGATCCCACCTCCTAGACAGCCGGAGAATTGACTTTGCAGCAACTAATCTGATACAAGCCCCGTCACTTTCACTACAAACAAGTTTCGCCAGGCAGAATTAATCAATCAAGTTTCAAGATGCACATCCAAACAGCTAGTACATAACACACAACCAGACAACTTTTTGCAGATATTTCATTTGGCATTTTATGTGCCCATATGTCACGTTTCCAGGTATCCGGACAATTATCAGTTTTATAAGGAAAAGAAAAAACATTGTAACCGTTTAAAGCGCGTTTTCCTTATTATTATTTTATATATTCAGCCTATTGTACATAAGTTGAATCCTTGGGGCACTATTATACATTCCACTTAGCTCTAGGGGTAATAGTGCAAATTCTCTTATTCCGTGAACCTCTAAATATGGGCTCTCTTCATTTGTAAATGCATCAGAGTCCTATTAAAGAGAAGACTACACCCTCTTCTTCTGTTTGATACCAAGTAAAGATATCTATAACTTGCGCATACAAAAAAATTAGGCAAAAACGGAAGAGTGAAAACAATTAGTTTATCAGTCATACCTAGAATTCGAACCGACATAACGATCACTGTGCTGCAACATTCTTAACAAAATGTCCAACAAACCAATAAAATCTCGTCTTACACAGTTCCCTTGCTCTGGCAGATAACTCTTTACTAGTGTTTTTAGTCCATAAACCTGCATTAATACGTGTTAGAATGATTGCATAGCCGTTGTGAAGGATAACAAATTTGCAGCATCTAGTTGAGAAATAACACTAACATTTGTTTGAGCTCCCTCAGATTTTATCTCAAGCAGGTTTAGAAAAACTTATCATTGAGAAAGAAAAACAGTTGCAAGTTGAAACTTATCTTATACATGTATATATAGACAGATACATTTATATATAATCAATATGAGCCCAGTTACTGTATATCGTTACTTATGCAAGCGCACTAAGTGAAACTATAATTATGAACCTGGCGTTGCACGGGAAGTTGTGATGACATGCAAAAATAAACAAGCAAAGGTTGAAAATTGCGTAAGGTAGAAATTAATTTGATCCAGCTCATGGTCCCATAAAACTAAATTAAACAAAAAAAAAAGAAATAAAATATAATGGTAGAAAAGGACAAAATATAAAGTATTAGACTAGTAAAATATCTCAAATTAGAATGTCATTTATAAGTCAAATTCACAAAGCGACTTCCTACAAATCTATCTATATATTTAGTTTACTCTAGATATATAACATTTATAAGACGACACACTATGTTATAAATAATACAACTCACTTCAATGTCTATCTAAAATAGGGGTCACATTTGGGTTATATATATAGATATAGAGAGATAGAGATTACTAATTATCAATGTTCAATTTAAAATTTATAATCATACTATTTACGAATTGTGAACAGCCGAACTTATTCTATAGACTTCATGGAACCCATGGACCCGCCTAATTTTAGCAACAAGCAAAAACATAATGTGATATCACGGCATTATTTCTTTTTCCTTCTTTTTGACATTTGTACCTGCAGCTTTATTGGATGGAATTGCTGAATACCGAATTCAAATGCAGTATCTGATCTCTCATACTAACCTTCAATTGGGAGGGATCGCTACACCCAAATGAACCATCAGACGATGTTGCATTGTGAACGTCATCCAAGTGCTCCGCCTAAACAGAAAAATAACTAGCCAGTCAGAGAAACCCCCCCACGTCAAACTTGTCCCCGCATAATAAAATCAAACAAGCAAGAGCGTCGAATTTACTTGAATAATCTTATGAGAAATATATTTTGTAATTTCCGCATCTCGAGTGTCAAAAGTTGAAATAGAGTATTGTGCAATGCATCCCAAAGACTGCAAAACTGTTGGAAGATTGCGCTGGCTATAAAGAGAAATAATAAGTTCCTGTAAAGCAAAAGAGACAGGGGGATCAGGGCAATCTTCACTACTAAGAAGAGTTCATATAAATTATAAAATATAAACACAAGGTTATGCTTGTCATAACCGGGCCCATCAAATATGAATGACAAACATGACCTTCTAATGAGCCAAGCATTGTAACATGCAGCAACACTGGAAGCGAGAGCAAGACTCATGACATGAGCGCCGTTTTTATATAAGAATTTGGTACCATTTATTTTTTCATCCCCTAAAAAATATGACTCAATTACCAAACCCTGTTCCTTATTATAAAAAATTTCACGACACTCCCCTTAAAATTAAAAAAGGCACATATGAACTCGTTTTATATAGAATATCCTCAATTAATTAAAGCATACAACGGAAATCTCAATAAATATATATTTAATCAACATTACACTAACAACTATGCTAAAACTAAGCAAGATTTTAGAATAAATTAAGTTAATTGCTTCAAACATGAAAAAAAATAAAACATTGAGAAATATCTTTTTGTAAGTCATATTTTTAAAGAAAAATAATAATTTTACAGTTCACGATATTTCAATCAAGATAACTAACACATGAATTATATTAAAATAGTTATTTTCTCGCTAAAAAAATATAAAAATAAGAGGATTCATATCCCGTCAAATAACGGTACCTGATACAGATCTGAGAAAAATGATTGATCAGAACTCAAAGCAGCCATTGCCAATATAGCAAATTTAGCCTGTGTGCGAGTGCCCTCCAGGCACATTTTTTGGAGAAATGGGTAAATATCACTGTAAACCAAAAACAAAATGAGGCTAAACCAAAACAGAAGTCAAACACTAGTCAGACATTTAAGAGGAAACTATTGTGAGATCCTTGGATGGAACTGGGCCACGGTTTTCATGTTAGTTAAGCCGTTTTTTTTGTTTTTTGTTTTTTGTATGCTCCTTTTGTTTCCATGGGAAGAATTTCCTCTTCAACTACTTCTTACTACATTTAGATGGTTTTTTGCTGGGCAGCTGATTAAATTGAGTCCGAATCCATCACTCATTTAGGTACTAATCTTCAAAGCCCACCATTTTGATTATCAGGAAACGATGAGAAAGGGCAACTAATGGTGAATTTTATTAAAACCGTAGATGTTATGATGCTTGCCAGAAACATGGGTTTGACATCTATACAAGCACAAAGCAGAAGCAGAGGTGACCTGAGTTTGATCGAAATGTGAGAGCCCGCTTTTGCTAAGACCTCAATCAGCTTGTCATTAACTGCGCTCTTCTGTTCCACCAACTTTTGGAACTGCTCTTCGGAGTCTTTCAGGATTGCAGGAAAAGTTCTCACAATGGCCTAGTTGAAATTGACAGAACGATTTATCAAATGGAATCCGCATCAAACAATAATTATATGATCACGTGTGTGGCAAGCTTTGGTCAATTTCTCAATCAAAGGGAGACGACAAATAGTAGCCATATTAACAATTAACATAGAATGCTCTCAACTCTTATATTTAAAGGAGAAAAACCTTTTTTTTTTTCAGGTATGGTTAGTTCATTAATAAGAAACTCAATAAGCAGATGGTCAAAAGTACCATTCTCACCAAATCCTCAAAAGAAAGGAGGAAAGAAGATTTTCCATCATAAACAATCTTAGATTGACGTAATTCATCTCGTAATGATTACTCGTAAAAAACAGGTGCATCAAATTTGGTAGAGCTAGCTATACATTCTCTAGGGCCAGCACTTCTTGTATGCATTGAAATCAAGAGGTTCTTGGCACCAAAAAGAATGCACCATAAATATCCACTAAGCAGTAAGTTCTGTTACCAGGAGAAGCTTTACAGAAGAATCCTCGAAGCGCCTGTTTCCAACTGTGGAATTGGAAATATAATCTAAAATATAATGGACGTGCTCTGAGCTGAAAATGTTGTATGAACATTTAGAGAAGAGTGAACGTAGAAACTCAAAATATGGATTGCTCTCCGCAACCATTCTCAGAAGCATATCCTGAGAGAAAACAAAATAAGGGTCATATAAAATCAGAAACAATGGACAACTATAAAAAGATGAGTTACATCACTCGGGAAATGATATACATGAAAGATCTTACACGGTAACATGGCAAAAGATTTATTGCCAGGTCTTCAAAACCCCACATCAATTATCCTCATTAGAAAGAGGTTACGTATCCCAAAAGTGAGCTATCATATGCATCACTAGTTTCTCGTAGATTTAATGTAAGATACAGATGCAGTCAAAGTTCATGCAAAACATGCCTAAACCACTTTCAATAACATCAGTTTATCCAGCTCCTATCATCATCACAGAATTTACTTGCCATGGAAAAGAAAACACAGTCATTTATCTGCCACCTAAGTTATGGAAGAATGATAGGCCGTGTGCCAAAATGAGGAACAGAATAATGCATGGTACGCACTTCCTCACACAAGAAAAGGGAACAGATTCAAATAATATCAAGGCCAAAATGGTGAATGTGTGATACGAACACCACTAAGCCCTCCCCCTCTAAACAAAAACATACCTGGATAATTTTTCTGGTTGCAAAAGTCTGCTCCTCCAACATTTGTTCGAGCGAGTTAAATATATTATTATCTTTAAGTTGGTTCACTTTATGTAACCACTCTTCTGCTTTAGGGGGGTCTGGAAAAAATGAGGCCATTTTTGTGAATATATTTTCAATAGTCTTCTGTAAATCTTCAGACCAATTTTCCTGAAAAGCAGATATAAACTCCATTATTTCCCGGATATCAATTCATGGTCAGAAAGCACAAAGATAAATTTGCAACATGTTAAAACCAATTTATCTTCTACAAATAAGATATCATTTAAAATATACATAGGAGACTATACAGCATGCACAAACAAACTCCTTTATTTGATAAGTAAGAAGTTAGTGAAGAAAATAATGCCACCAAAGAGGAAAATGTCTGCATGTGTGCGCACTCGCGAGAGCAGAAGGAGAGGGGGGAGATACAAGCCAAAGAAAACAAAAGGACAATAATGTGTAAGGAAAACCAAGAAGAAAAGACTATTAAAACATCTTTAAATTTAGGAAAATTACTAAATCATCCAATGAAAAGAAGGTAACCAAGATGCTAATATTTTTCAACAAGTTTTATCCCACTAGATGGGGTTAGCCATATAGATTATACAACATCATTGTGCTCTATCATTTACCAAGCTTTTGAGAATGTTAATTAAAATGTCTCAATGAACAACTTTCATAAGTATTCTCCTTAGCTTTCCTCTACTATTCTTAACAGAGCTTAAAATTAGTCATTTCATTTTTCTCACTGGTGCCTCTCGCGGTCTTCTTTGTACATGTCTAATTCATCTTAAACGATTTTCTACCATTTTTTGCTCAATAGATGCTACGTCCACTTTTTCTCATATATACTCATTTCGGATTTTATCTTTACGTGTATGCCTGTACATCCATCTCAACATTCTCCCCTTTATTACTTTAACTTTATGCTCTTGTTGTCTCGCTAAAGCTCAACATTCACTAACATATAACAAAGATAATCTTATAGCAATTTGATAAAACTTCCCTTTAAGTTTATTAGGCATCTTTTGATCACAAATTAGCTTCTTTAACCTTACTCCAATTAAACTACTTAGCTTTTATCTTATATGCAACATCCTCGTTAATTTCTCCATCATGTTGAATAATAACTCCCAAATATCTAAACTTTTTCACTTAAGATACAATCTGATCTCCCAATTTCACTTTCAAATTATTACTGACTGGCCTCTTATCAAAATTACAATACAACTATTATATCTTATTCATACTCAGGCTGAAACCTTTTGACTCCAATGTCCTCTGTAACTCTAGTTTACAATTAATCTCTTCTCTTATCTTTAAAATAAGAACTATATTATCCGCAAAAAACATGCATTTGAGGATTTCCTCTTGAACATGCTCAGTCGAAATATTTAGCTCAAACAAAAAAAATAAGGACTCGAAGATGATTCCTAATGTAGTCCAATCCTTATAGAAAAGTCTTTTATTTCACTGCCAAACGTTCTTATACAAGTTGTTGCCCCCTCATACATGTTTTGTATAGCTTTAATATAAGCAATCCAGAGATTTTACTTGTCCAAAGCTTTTCAAAGTACTTCTCTCAATACATGATTATAAATTTTTTCCAAATAAATGAAAACGATGTATAAATCTTTATATTTGCATAGATAAAGTAGATAAATTGCTTTTGTAATCACTCTATCCGGCATAAAGCCAAATTAATTCACAGAAATATCAATCTCCAATCTCAATCTATGCTTAATTACTCTTTTCCACAATTTCAGTGTATGACTATAAGTTTAACCCATCTATAGTTTGCATAATTTTGAATATCCCTTTTATTTTTTGTAAATAGGAACTTAGATGCTTCTCCTTATTTCTTAGGCATTTTCTTGGACTATGAGATCTCATTAAACAACTTAGTTAGCCATCGCACCCCCCTTCACCTTAATATTTTCACATTTCAATAGGAATACAATCAGGTCCATTGACTCTACCATTTGCTATTTTCTTAAGAACTTCCTTTATCTCACTATCTCGTATCCTTTGATAGAATGACAAATTTTATTTTTCACAAATTACTAAATCCTCCAAGTTACTAGACGAACCCCCTCTATCATTGAAAAGTTTTGAAAAGTAAGTATCCTGTTTGTCTTTAACATAACCATCTATGATCAAAACTCTTCCCTCTTCATCCTTTATGCAACTTATCTATTCCAGATCTCTCAATTTTCTTTCCCTACTTTTAACAATCTTATAAATTTTTCATTCTCCATTCTTTGTTTCAAGACCATTGTAAAGCTCTTCAAATGCTTTAGCATCTTCACTCACAGCTTGCATAGTTTCCTTCTTAATCATATGACACCTTTCCCAATTTTCATCATTATTGCACAAATGGAACGCTTTAAAACATTCCCTATGTTTGACTTTTTCCTATACATTATCATTCCACCACCAAGACTCTTTATCTCTTAGACCAAAACCTTTTGATTCTCCCAAAACTTCTTTAGCAACCTTCGTTACCTTCTAAGGAAGGAAAATTAGTACCCTACCTTTAATGAGAAAACTGGTCCATAACATTATACTCAAGCACACGCAATAAATCAAACACACAAACTTTGAAGCCACTGAGCTATGCTTTCAACTTCTACCCACAGTTTCTGTCCAACTTCAACAATCAAATATGTTCACAAGACCATGCAACCATAATGTATTACCAAGAAGTTTCCATGAAAAACCAGATAGCATTCAATTTTTACTATGTAACAAAGCTTATTTTCATGGAAGGCCAACTTTAAAACCAATGCATAGTTGTTCAAGGAATAGAAAATGGCATAAATAGAATCTGAAAGAATGAAAAGACTTCCTCATCTTATATATTGCTAAGTTGATGAAAAGGCTTCACCAAGTTATGATTAAAAAAATAACTCAATTTTGGTACCTTCAATTGCTTCCGCAAAGCCAAATAGTTTTTAATCTCACTTTGCAACCTGAAAACAGGAAAGACTTGTAACAAATAATCCACTAATCTCCTTTCATCATATTCATAGCTTTCAATACCCCTACCTTCTCTTTTGAGATAAAATAGTATGCAATGCCTTTTCATGAAGAGGGCTGAAAAGAGAAAATATGTGTATCCAGTGATTTGCCCTTTCCTCAACGGAAAGATGCTCTGGAAATAAATCATCAGCGAGAACTAATTCCATGCTGTGTGAACTGAAACAATTTAACATAGAATAAATTTTATCAAGTCTGATGTCATCAAAAGAACTCTTGGTTTGCTTCAACTGGCAATACAGAGTAGATAAGCTGACCTGAACTCCTTACAATCTTTATCAAAGTAAAGCATCAAAATTTTACATGGAATCTCTTCAAAGTGATCGCTAGTTGTCATGCTGCCTTCACAACACTTCCTACAGTAGTCTTGATATACTTCCATAAGCTTTTGCAAGGCCATCTTTCTGACAGATATCTGGAAATGATTAGAAAAAACATATCAAGAGAAAGAAGAGAAGAGATATCTTAGAAAAAAGATGTTAAATTTCTAGACTTCTGTCATGTCATTCAATAGGCAAAAGCATTAAAAGCACATGCCTTTTTATCCCGAATTCTTTCGGTGACTTGAGATATTAGTTTGGATGGTACAAGTTGCAAGTTTGACTTGGAAAGATCACAGGCAACAAGAATTGCCTGCATTCTTACTCTATCATCAAAGTCTAGTAATCGATCTTCAACAGCAGCTGCTCAATATAAAAGATGCCATGAGTCACTTGCAAGATATCATGAGGGAACTATAAATCAGGAGGCAAAGCATCCTAAAAATAGAATTATCCCAATGACAAGTTCTAAGGAGCTTACATATAATTTCATGAAATTCTCTTCCAGATGGATTTGCCACATAAATAGCTTTAGCACAATGCAAGGCACTAATTCTAACATCCACAGACTTATCAGAAAATCTCTTCAAAAATTCCACAAAAAGATCATGATACTTCTGTGCGGCATGATGTTCTGGAAGTGCAAAAAGCTTTCCAACCAAATTAACAGCTTGTATCCGAACATCTACCTGATCAGCCTGTAAACAGGATCTTAGATGCAATAAATGTGAGAAGAGATACATTTCTAAAAGAAAATATCAATTTCAATCACTTTTTTGATTCAACCATTATAGCATTTAAACTATAAAGGGTAAAAGTGAATATACCAATAACTCTCTGATCAAGCTTGGAATGACAGCAAGAAGCATCTCAGGAGCACATTGGAATATTTTAAAAATTATTTCATGGTAAAATTCTTTCAGCCCAGAGCTTACAGCATCTCTGTCATTTATGCAAGAAGTTAAAAACCAACAAACAAGGGGCTTCAGCTCTTTCTCATCTGCACAACTGATGACCAATGCAGCTAGTTGAGAAGCAGCACAGGTTGCATCCTGTAATTCATTCAGAAAGAGCTAAGTGGAACTTTAAGGCCAGTACAGTTTTCTTTGATAGAAAACACCACACCAGTGTTATTCCAAGCAATAAAAGTAAAATGTCATAAATCTATCTTGATAAAATAAGCATTTCAGCAATTTTACTCTGTCCAGTATTCAATTCTTCCAGGTATAACAAGCAAGTAGACTGTAGGGCCATGCTTAGCACAAAGTTTAAGGTAAATCTCACTGTTTATGGCTTACAAATAGTGCAAGTGCAACTTTCCATAAATTTATATGATATGTAGATACATGTATGCATGCTTATGCTTATTTGAGAAAGAAAATTTTGAGGGCAATTGAAAATAATAGTCACATGCATGAGAGAGGTTCTAGAAATTAATTCACATTAGGTAGATTAAATAGAAATCTTTGCTTGACAAATATCAAATGATGCTCAGTTAACTTGGTATTTATACACATTGAACTCATTACATCAGGAGAGATGATTTCAGCTTTAAACCCATAGCAGCTTGCCTTTTTTGCCAACATGATGAAAAATGTTCAAACAAAAGAGCAACAAGCTAATATTCTGACAAAAACACTTGGGAGACAGCAACATTACTGTAGCTTGGAGGACCATGGATTTGTACGGCTCCAACTTGGGGAATGCGGGAGAAAGTTAGCTAAGTTACTGTAGCTAGTTATAAAGAGTTAGAGAAGGTACAGTTGGATGAGATGGCCGCTAGCACTATTATAGCAATCAGACTGAATAATTGAAGCATCAAATTATCGAATTCCAGCACTTATTTTCTCACTGATTGTTAAATAAGAAAAATATATGTACTTGCTTCCTGGAAGAATTCCCATTGATGAAGCAGAATTAATTTTGTAGATAAATTAAGAAAAATACACTTTAGAGGAAACAGCAGACTCCAACCTCCTAACCTTCAGATTTATAACCTTCAAGATGCTATATATCTAAAACGAATATAAATGACATGCATCACGCAAATTGACCAGAAAACAATGCATAACATTCGCTTTGCGTATGGATGATCATCAATATTCTTGTCAGCGCATTGGGGGAAAATATAATTTTACATTACAAAAAAATTACGAGACATTTAACCTCAACTTCTTTATATAAGACTTTGAAAAGTAAATAAAAAAAGATTAAAACATAATATTATATATATATATAAGCACACAATTAATAGGGGCCTTACTTTTCTTCCCTTTACAAGATTTTGTAATATCACCTCCAAGAGTTGCTGAGAAGCTCCTACGTTTAATATATCAATCATGATAGAAGACATAGCATCTCTCAAACTCGCATGGTGGTCATCTCTGAAAAAAGGGGGGGATGAAATGTATTATGTCATTATTGTCATAAAAAATGCTAATGAAAAAATAGGGGGCTGACTACTCAACCAAAAGTAATAACTACAGTCAAGTAAAGCATTGCCTTAAAAACTGATGTCCCAGTCTGAACTTAACAATATGATTAGGGCTGATGGAAAACGTACAAAGAAATGAGTGAAAGCTTAAAATTGATAAACCTACAATGAATCTAACAGAAGTTGAGAGATTTCCATTTCTATGGGAATCAATACAATATAACCTAGAGAAATTACAACACAAGCATATTTCTTGCATGCAAAATATTGGACACAATTGCCCATGGTTTTACTTATAAAAAAGCATCACATAAGTGCATTTGCAATTACCTAAACCAAGACTTCTGTTTTAAAGTCCTTGTTGAGATAATATGAGTTGTTAAAACACAGGACTAAATACTGATGAATTTGTCCAATCAAATAACACAAAAACAAAGGAACACATTTTTAGCCACAAAAGAGGATGGGTATTAACCTTGCAACAGAGAAAAAAATTTTGAACATCTCGACAATCAAAGCTTCAGAATCAATATCCAGCATGATCACACAGCATTTTAACCGAGCCACAGTTTCCAATATCTTCACCCTTTTTGAAAAGAGTGGACTTGAGGTATCAGCTAGATCCGCAAAAGTGCTAATGATAAGTTTAAACACACCCTGAATTAAAACATGTCTCTCAAATCAGTATAGAAGTAAACATAGTACAGGCACCCAAGTGCTGTCAAAAACTAAACACGAGAAAAAGAGAGAGCTAAAAAAACTCCCAGTTATGTTCTGTATGATGGTTACCTTTAAATCTTTGTCCTCAAAAGGTGGTTCTGGTGCCCTGATCCTAAAAATTTCAGTGACACATATAGCAACTAGAAGTCTAACATCTTTATCTGCATGTTGAAGCAGATCGCAAATGATCACGTGTTCAAGGGTCTTTAAGGAAGCTACTCGATTTTGGGCAGCTTCCTGCTTTCTGAGAGCTTCTTTCTGTTTATTATTAGCTTGTGCTTCATTAGCGGATTCAATTAGAGAGAACTGTTCTAACTGAGACAATGCACTTACAGCTTGCTGCACGAGAGTTTGTAATAATAGGATCACGGTCAGCATACAAAATATTAGATCACGTGTACCTTGAAGCAAATGATAAGACAGAATTCCAGCAAACTATTTTAGTGTCTGAAATGACCATGAACAGCACAACTTATTAAATGTAGAACATGCGTCTCTCCAGCCCCCACTCCCCGAAGACAGCAAGACAACATCAAAAATTTGCAAACCACTCGATTAATTATAACCACTTGAGAGCTGAGACTGAAATTCAACCGATTCTTTCTTTGGTAACACGTGGAGACGGCAGATGCAAGAGAACCTACATTACATTATCTGGTCGCGCTCTTTGGCCATGCACAGGATGCAGAGACAACATGATGACGCCAAAACACACCGCAAATGGGCTAAATAGAAGGGGAATACACATACAGTTATATTCTTAACAGGTGTTCTACTTCGAAGAATTAGAGGGCCTGAAAATTATTGTCCCCGCAAAGATTCACTTCCCCACTTTCTATGAACAACATGGAACGCAAAATTTATAGGTCCAACTTGTAAAGCCTACTATAGGTCCAACTGGAAGCCAGCTCCCTTCTCTAAATTCATCAATATCGACAATTAGCATTCACCAGGGGAAAAAAAAAACACTTTCATATTAGTCTGATAATGTGAGCCATCTTAGTGAAGCTTTAAAACAGGTGGAGAGTTGTCATGTGATGGACCGGTTACTGAAAACAAAACATGAGAAAGGAACCGGGGGGCGGAGGAGGGTAACGCTTACTCGCAGGGATTTGACAATGAAATCCTTCGAAGGACGACTTCGCTGGCCGAGACGAGCTCCAATTTCGGAGATGAGCTGCAGCACGGCTTGGTCCATGGAAGCGGCAACGATCAGTTAACCAAAATCGGATAATTTGGGGTCTGCGTGTGTGTGAAGCATGTGAAACGGCGAAAGGGGAGCGCGGTTTATGCGTTTGATTTGTTTTCGAGTGCGGAAGTCTCCCGCCTCTTGCATCAGCGTGGCTATGACGCGCCTCCATTTGGGCTCTTTTTGGCGGTAGGAACATCAAAGAATTATATACTATATACTCCTTTTATTTAAAAAATAAAAAATATTTTTAATTAAATTTTATCTCTTAATAAAATAATTACTTACTTTTAAATTAATTTTATTTTTTTATATTTATTTTTAATAAACACCCTACAATAAATATAAATTCATTATCAATACAAGCATTTTTGAAAAAAAAGATAATGATTACACCTCAAAATACTAAAAATATATTATACTTTTTAACATCTAATTTCTCAAAAAATATCTTATATTTTTAAATGAAGAAAGTAATTCCCAAACAAACATGAACCACCACTAGGCTATTGAAGCCTTTTGTTGTATACATGCAAAAAATTATATATATATATATATATATATATTAAATTTAGGGAGACAAGGTTGGTGAAATAAAATTTAGTATGTGTTTGGTTTCAGTTTGTTAAAAATTAGTTTGGTGAAAGTTTATTTGGTAAAAGTTAATTTAGTGAAAGTCAGTTATTATAATAAAATTTGTGTTTGAATACATTTTTTTAAAAATTAATTTAACAAACTAAAAGTTGTTTAAATTATATATAATAAAATATACTTTAAAATATACAATTATAAAAAAGAACATTAATTTATATCATTTATAACTAGATTTTACTACCCGTGCAATGCACGGGAGATTATTCACCATGCTTTATTAAATTTGATCATAATTTCTTATTCAATGCTTTCATATGAGGCAATAATACAAATTTGCAAGCTAACAATTATTTTTCCTAAGTGAAAGGGGGAAAAGAGGAGATTTCTTTGAGCTTTAGGAAAAAAAGTCAAACTTATTCTTGCACGTGTAGGTATCAATTTAAATTGTTCAAACTAATTTTGACATAAACTAAGATTTATAAATAAGCATAGACAAATAAAATATGGCTGATGATGTAATTAACAATGAAAAATTCAAGATTGAACAGTTGACTAAGGTTATTCACGCTAAATAATAAAAGATAGATTTGAATAATATCTAAAATTAGGTCTCAAGCCTTATTCTTTACATGGCTCTTCTGAAGTACATCTTAGGATGGGTAAGTTTGCATATAGTTTATATGTATTTGTTTAGTTATATTATAATAAAGATGGGTTATTAGCTAAATTCCTATGGCCAGCTAATAATTCTTTCATTTATTCTATGACCTTTTCCATTATTGTGCAAGACATTTGGTAGATTGATCTTTAGAGGCTCAAGTGCCTAATTTCTTGTACCTTTGTTAGCTCATTAAATGAAATTAGAAATTTTACACACAAGAAGTATTTTACTTTTCTAGTTAACAGAAGGGGCCATCTTGTAATAAAACAGATATGCAATTTTTTTTGGACCAATAAGAAAATCAAATTCACAGATATGCAATTGTTTGACTAATCACTATATTATCATTTACTTTTAACCACATAATTTTGTTAAAATAGATATGCAATAGGCACTATCTTGTAATCAAATAGTAATACAACAGTAATCATTTATTTTTAACTACATAATTATATTACTTTTTTCATCTAATTCACATGATTAATTTACCTTCTTTAAAGTAAATTGAAGATCCTCAATGGCAACAAACACTGCATTAATGACTACTTCTACAAGCAATTACATATCAAGTAAATAACATTCGAACATAATATTGATAGAAATTAAACATTCCTTAACTACAAAATTACAAAACATTCATGGGAATGGGAGGCAAAGAAGGCTCCAAGAATTGCTTTGGCTCTATAGTGCAACAAAGTATCAATTATACCTTCTCCTAACCTCTACTAAATGAAAGTATGTTTATGCATAGGTGCTATCATGTTTTTGTTTTGATTTTGCACTGATATTCAATTACATAATAAATTTTTAGCTGTAAAACATATAATAAGCTAGTCCTTACTGTAAAAGAGCATACGAAAGAGATGTAACAATGTTGTGCACCATATACTCTTCCATTAACCTGACGTATTCCATTAAAAACTTGTCTTCTTCCTCCGTCCATTGTTCTTTCTTGTACTCACTTCCTTCTCCTACTTTCATCGTTTTAATTTCTCACAAATAAAGCACTTCCCTTGAAGCAAAAATAATTACAATAAATTTCAAATAAAGCTACAATAAAAGGATAATTGGAGAGCACTTTTTAAAGGAGGGAGTGGCATGAGCAAACAATTGGAGAAATGAAAAGATAAGAGAAGTTAGAAGCCAAAAAAAAATTTAAAACCAAGACTGAGGAATGTTGCTTGGTTCATTTCCATTAGTCTCATAAATAACATTACATGTCTGGTAAACATATAGTAATGAAAAAGAAAAAACTTATCTTCTTAACAGCATATATTCATAGTTAGAAATTCTCAAATATAACTACTCAATAAATATTAAAAAAAAATCCATATACATGTAGAGAGACAACATGTAAAGGTTAAAGGCGACAAAAGGAAGAAGGAAAAAAAATCATACTTTGTAGAGGACACCCAAAACAGTAGAGGATAGAGGCAAAGGTCAAACTTAGACGAAGAAGCACCAGAAGGACATTGATGTTGGAAGAAGGAGATAGAAGATGAAGCACGAGGACAAGGAAGGAGCTAGAACTTATAGAAACACTGGAGGAAGGCTGTTTACACTAGAGTCCGGTAAAGAAGTTGCTGCAAAGGCCATAACTTATTGTATGCCATTTGCAATTTGGAGTTCTATGGGGAGAAGACACTTGAGTTCCTGGCTGAAGGAGATGCTGAACTTCTGAGGCAGGGAAGATGCATTTGGTTAATTAACTAATGGTTTTTTTAGGCCTACATTTGATAGGGATAAGTCGCCCATTAAAAATAAATTATTAGCATAGTTTATGGGGAGAACAAAATAGCCATGACCTTCTTATTAACAGAAAGCCTGGTAGAAAAATGACAGCTAAAGTGAATTCATTTAATGGACTAATTTTTCAGGCCTGCTCTTAAGAAGACAAATCGCAAAAATAGAAAAATGCAAGGTATAACATTTAGAAAATTTTAATCCTGGTTTATTAACCTAATGAGCGAGTTCTTAAGGTGTATGGCCAGATGGGTCTTACATGGTGTAATTATGGTGATTTCAGACTTAAAAGTGGGTATGGATTGATGGCGGGTCACTTGAATAAAGAAAGAGGAAGAAAGATCAAATATTTATTCTCTGTGCCACACGCTACATCACGTGGTTAGTCTGCCACAGTGCACAGAGATAAATTTAAATGTAACGGGCTCTTCTGCACCATGTCCCGTGGCGTACGGGCAAATTTTTTGATAAATTAGTTCATGTTTGTGCATGAAAACATAAGAGAGAAGGGGAAGAAAATGAAGAGAACATTGGAGCTCTACTAGGACACATATATTGGCTTCAATTGTTGATATTTTAAAGCTCTCAAATACCCAAGGTAGTAATCTAAGCTTTCTTCTTCCTTTCTCTACCTCATTTATGATGATTTATGATAGGGATTGAGTTGGGAGATAGATTTTCAGTCCATAAGATTATGGATCCAATGCCATTAGTTAAAATGAATATAATAGGAGTTATTTAGGGTATAGGAACACTACATTAATGGTTTTATCAAGAGTTTGTTGGGTAAAGCATTTAATATCCAAAAAGCCATATAAATGTGGTAGTTGGAAGAAGTTTGTGTTCATTAATGGTGGTTTGAAGTATTATTAATGATAATATGCATTAATGAAATCTAAAGAGCCCATTGGATATGAATGGGTAGTGAATTATGGGTTAATAGAACAATGTGTATGGAGTTATGTGTTGATAAATTCTCAAGATTAAGATAATGATGATGTTTTGTGGTATGGATGTAGTGAGGTTTTATTTTTGGCACCACTCAAGCTTGTTGAGGCTTTGGAAGTTGGTATAGTAAGGGGTAAACCTTTGACCTCTTAAAGATTTGAAGTAATTAGGAGAAACTTAATCTTTATAGTTAAATGTTAATTGTATTTGGGAAATGTGATTTATGATTTAAATCTTTGATGCATATCAGCAATGTGTTCGATTGTGAAATGATTTTAGAAAGGAAAATATTAATTTTGGCCACCTACTTATGATTTATGAATTTACTTGTGGCATATTGTTGTAAAAGTGAAGAATTATGATATGTGATATGTTAAATGTGTGGAGTGACTAAATATGAGATAATTTGTCATGAATTGATTCTTGAAATGCATATTATATGAGAAATGTGTATAGCATGATCATTGGCGACAGTTCACCTAAGGAGAGGAGTAGATTGGTTTAAATCCACGTGGTACTGACAGTGACTATTGGAATCAAGAACTTGCCTTAACACCGACCGTTAGAATCGGGAGGTGGCCCTTGTCCCATAGTTAATTTGAAACAGTCCCACTTGTTATATGAGGGACTAGAACCTAAATAGTCTCTATCAGTTCACGAGGAAGTTAGATTAGGAGTACAACGCCCCATGATTGTTAGCATTAGAGAAAATCAAATTACATAAGTGAGTGAGTTCACCCTGACCCAGTAGATCCTCACAAGTGAAAGGTTGGGTTAGTCTATGAAGGATGTAACCACGTGATAGCCACCGATTTTATGTTGAAGGTAACAGGAGGATATAAGATTGACAGATAATCATACATATAAGTCTGGTCACATAGTTGTTAGTTTTGTAGTCCGGCATGTGTTAGATATGCATGGTTGTTATTATTATGATTCCGTGTTGTGTTTTATGAAATATCATGATAAAGTGTGTTGTGATAAGCCCGGTCACATAGTTGTTAATTTTGTGAACCGTGATCGAGTGTTTATTCATGATATCTATATATATACCTAATTGTATCTATTTATAATTGATGTGCAACTATATAGATTAGGTGAGATTTAGTTACTGAATAGTCGTACTTACCCCTCAATTCTCAATATTTTTAGGACAT